TATTCTTTGAAATCAGTTGTGACTTCCATAGCATCATTTTTAATTATTATTGCACAAGTGTTTTTACTAATATCCGGTTTCACTCTGTATACTATTACATAAATCTAAATGTATTCATCCGAGTGCGTTAAAGGATTTTTATTTTATTTTTCTAAATTGTTGGTTTCCTTCTGAGGTTGATATTCATTACACAATTATTATTCTTATCATGGATCAAAACTTTTCACCAGGTGTTCACTTCTTTTCTCTCTTCTTTCCCTCTAAATGAATATTATTCTTAAGATTACGAAGTTTGTAATTAAAACAATAACTTGTGTTACATTTAAATTAAATTCTCAGACCCGTTTTATCTTCACTATGCATATACGACTCATACATATTGATATTTTATTATCCCTTTTTATTTAATTGAGACTTTCATAGCATCACTCTAAACTATAACTGCACAAACATTTATTCTAGCGTCATATCTTACTGCAATTATAAGTTATTTTTTCTTAATTATTTTTGTTACTAATTTAACGATACACACATAGTCGTTTATTCTTGTTCTGTGTTCATAAACACGCCTATTAGACTGTTTGCGTATTTCACGTCTCCTTCATTTCTATTCCCTTATTTTCTCCATTTCCTTCATTAAACTCAACTCAATATTCTTCTCAATTGCACAGACCCGATTTATTATTATTAATCTTCTACTATTATTGCTCTAAATTTTTTTTAAATGGTAAGTATAATGCTGACATTATTGAAAATTCTATATTATTGCATTTTTTGAAGAAACCCGAAATGGTTTCTTCACAACACTTATGTACCCATAAGATGTTTGTGAATAATAATAATAATAACTGATGTTTCCGTTCAACCTTCCCGACGATATAGTAAACACGTCTTTGTACGTCGCGACTCAGTTTAACAACCACTCAAAACGGCATACGAAGGACTCTCCAAAGTCTCTGAATGTAAAAGCAAATACTACAAAATCGATAAGAGAAGAACTAACGATAGCACCAACATCGATCGCCTCAAAGTCGCGTATTTAGAAGGAAACCCTTACCTCACGTAAGACACTACATAATATTTTATCCTGGTTTTGTGCATTACTGTGCCATAAAAACACTATTTTTATTATGACCATATATATATTTTTACTGCAAAGACAATTCGTAACCAGAAAATCTTTCCAGGCCCTTTGCATATCTACAAAACGTGTATGTATAAGTTTGTCTCCCTTTTTTCTCGTTTTGTGCCTTTACACACGCATGAGTGTAATTTCACATGCCCCCTTGTATCCTTTTTTCTTTGGGGGTACAGCAGGAAAAGATGAAAAAACGGCAAAGATTGTGACGAATCTAAATTTTTATTATACTCTTTTTCAATACTATGTTGTACCACATGGCCTCTCATAGTACGTAAAGATGACCAGGCGCTGCTGAAGATGACAAGCCATCAGAAGAATGTTCACCGGTGACAATATTGTTGGGTCTAAACTTCTGACCGGCCACGTCTTAGAGTTATCACTATCCCACTAGGGAGGAAATGAGCAGAGCGGTTAAGAAACTCCCAAAATAAATTGTTTCGCAAGTCTTCGACACTTGGTGCTGACCGCATTAGTTTTATTGGATTCACCTAGCTGAAGGCGCTCGGCCACACATCCATACCAGATCACGAGCGGGTACGCCATGCTTCATATCTCTTTCAACTACTAGACAGCTTATATCGAGCGTCCCTCGACATACATATAGCCCTCCAAATATATTTTCGAACTTCATTTCTGACTTATGATTTGTCTAGGTCAGCATACTCCGATTATAGAGGTGTTGTCAAACTCCGATTAATTGCGGCATTTTTTAGGGGCTTTTTAATTGTCATCGGACCAAAAACGAATGTCTCCGTAAATCTATTAAGTTTGCATAATTAGACAGCGATATTCAGAATACATTCCCCAGGTATTCTCACAGGGCATAGCAAGAGAGAACAAGAAGCTCCTTTAACACTTCAAGCGGACTCACAGTAGTGACGAAAAAACCTTTGCATGAATTAAGCCAAAGTTAGTTTTGGTGCACTTATTTACTCTACTACGTTAATCGAAACAATCCAATATTATGGATGTGGCATGATATGATTACCTAACTTGTAGGAGCGTACATAGAAGACATATGATTGTTAGATCGATTCGTCTTATTATGATAGTCAGCAGTATGCGTCTTAGAAGCCTTTAAAGAGTGCACTTAAGATGATGGTAGAATAATATATTGAATATAAAATGCAACACGTTGCAAAAAGAAACCGTCTCTTTATGCCCAATGCATGTCACCTTCATTAAGTGTCCCATCCTTCATCTTGTCTGGCCTTCTCCAAGCGTTCAGCGTTCAATCAAAGTCTTTTCAGCAGTTGTATGTTCAGCCTCAGGGATTGCGAGGAAAAGAAACAATGCCCCTACAGCTTCTAATTATTACTTGGTACACTTATATCTGTCTCCAGCAATAGTCGAATGATATTAAACTTTGCGAGATTTATATCCGATATGCTTCGCATGTATTCCGTATACTAATCCCGTTACTAACAACGTCCATATAAAAAGTCAACTATGAAAGTGTTGGAAGAACGTACAGTCAAGTCTTCAGACAATGCCGGTGAACGATAACTGACAGAAGGAAATATGTATAAATCAGAGTGATAGAGATCGCCAACTCCGTGAGTAATATGTGGCTCACTTGCACAAAGGCAACAAGAGAAGACAAGCTTCACTACCAGATAAAGCTTATGAATAAATTTGTCTCCAATCCGAAAAGCCAATTCCGTTGTGGAGCCGCTCTACGACAAGCCAAAACTGGAGTTTTTGAACTGCTAGATACTAGTGGCTCGACCAACAACGACGGTGACGCCGCTAATCTTCTGGCTGGATAGTACACTCTGACATTTCAACTGACCCTTGACTAACTATGATGATGAAACTTTCACCTACAACTGCACAGGACTTGCGAAAACGAACCTGAGCGCTGACTTGACGTATCGGAATCTGTAGCATCTAAAAAAGACGCATCCTGGTTCAGATATGGTTCATTCTGGTATACTTAGGGAGGCAACTTCAGTCCTGGCAACGCCGCTTAGCGTGATGTTCTCACACTCGCTAAGCCGAGACACATTATCGGAAATTTGGAAGCTGGCTCACATTACACTAATGTTTAAATGAGGTCGGCGCAGAGAACCTTCGAGCTACCGACCGATGGCTCCTCTCCCTAAATCTTCAAAAATTATGAAATCCCTGGTATACATGACTATTAATTATCATTAGACTTCTTTCCACCCCAACATCACAGTTTCATGGAGAGTCATTCTTGTACAACCAACCTATTGACTGTGGTGGACAGATGGACAACCATCCTCAATCGCAAGTAGGTTGGAGTAATCTACCCTGACTCCTCAAAAGCTTTTGATAGGGTTAACAATATATGTCATATCAATAAGCTGAAACGATTGGGTATCAGACCACCTCTAATTGATTGGTTCACTTCATACTTGAAAAATCGACATTTTAAGATCAGTGTTAACTTCACTTTCTTTCAGGCTATGGAATGTCCTAGTGGGGTTTTCGTGCCTTAAAGTAACCCTCGTGCTATTGATAGAGGAAACCAGACAAGTAGTGAATAGGTCTTTATTTCGATCTTAGCGCGGTGACAGTCGAGCGTGGGATTATCTGTTCAGACAAACAAAGGCTCTCAACATTCAATATAAGATAATAGGGAATATAACGCTTATACAAAACAAGGAAGTGGATGAATACTTGAACAATACTGTTTTGGCATATGCTTGGTTGTTTGGGGTCAACTCTTAACCAACCAACCTAAGCTGTTACAGGGTCGTCTAGGGTTCAGTACCAGGGCCTCTTCTCTTCTTGATTTATATAAATGATCTTCCTCGACAGGTAACGTCAGACTTATTACGTTTTGCTGGCGACGTGGACCTCGGGGAGGGATACACAACCAAGACGATATACACGCACTTCAGGAAGATCTGACTCCACTTCAAAGTTGGGCAGACAATAACGAACTTACCTTTAACACTTCAAAGTGTGAAGTTGTCCATCTGCGACATGTCGCAGACTATAGTTACAACTTAGAAAACTCCTCTCTAGTAGTATCCCGAGTCGAAAAAGATTTAGAAGTCCTGGTGCCCTACGATTTAAAGTCTTACGATAACTGTGACAAATATGCCTTTCGAGCAAACCTCGCACTGGTAACATTGAAGCTCATTTTTGGCCAGTTTAACGGATGAAATTTCCATATAATCTTCAGCAGTTTTATCCTTCCCCACTTAGAGTATGGAAACATAGTCTTTCCTTCCTCACTTCAAGAGGATAAGGACACTCCAATGGCGAGCCACGAAGTCAGTTCGGAGACTCAAATTTAAACCTTGTGAAGAGCGCCTCCAATCACTTAACCTTTACCCATTAGAGTACAGGCGTCTTAGAGGTGACCTTCTGATGTCTTACAGTATCCTTAACACTTCCGGAAATCCTCTTAAACACTAAATTAAGCCTAATCCCAGTATCAATCTATGGGGTAACACGCAGAAATTGGAGTCACAACAAGGCAGAACGGACTGTAGACACAACGTCTAGTCCTTAAGAGTTGTCAAATGCTGAAATTCGCTGCCGACTGAACTAGTACAAGCGACTTCACAGGAGTCCTTTAAGATGAACCTTGACCTATTCTTAAAGACTAAGGATAACCTATCATGATTTATCAATTTCTTTTCTCCCATTATTATCGTAAATATATCTAGATTCCTGCCTAGAGGTATTGGTGATCCCCTGCTACTAGACACGGAAGCCTGTTAAGCGAAAGCTTCTTCGATTCCGTCCACAACCATTTGAACCATTTGAGTTATTTTACAGTAAACTTTGGCGTTTGTTTCATTTAACATCGGAGGTTGTTACGTACAGAGCGTTACGCCAATGAAGCGACGGGTGGTTTTCAGTGAGTCGGATTCAGGTAATGTTCAGTGCGTTTATATTCAAAAAAGATGATGAAATTAAGACCAAGGAAAAGCCGACAGTAAAACAAAGTACGAAACGATATTCCGAGAAGAAAAGGAAATGCACAGACGTCGATGGTATTAAATTACTTCTTTATAAAGCCCCTAGATAATCAAATATCCTGCCGTGATAACTCCCAGCAGTCAATAATCGACGCTTTACGACGACAGCAAGAGTTATGCAAAATCAACCGTGGCAAGAAAGCAAATACTATTGAAGCGTACTTCTCACAGTCTGTGAAACCCAAGAAGAATGTAGTTTCCGTTGATGATTTCTTCGGACAATCTGGAACAAAATCGAATGCTAAGGTGAGCTTTTAAATAATACGAATTCTTTGGTCCTTATCAACTCATTACTACAAACGTTTGTTAGGGAAATTGTACGATATTATTCTTCGTCGCCGTTCAATAGGTAATGGTAAAAGTACTCAGTCTATCCAAACATGTTTATGAATGTTTATTTGTATAATTTGTGCTCATTTTCTGCTTTGATATAATCATCAACCAGTTGATTTGATATTATTTAACTGTGGGATGAACCAATTGGGTTTCAAATTGCATCTTTTAAACTCTTGCGTGAAATCTTTTCATCTGTATGGGCTTATAAGTTCATTGCATTAAAGTAGGTTTCGGTTTTTTGGTCAAAATACTAACCCTGGTTTATTACCCTGCCCCCTAACCCTAAATCCCAGTTTTAATCTTCAACATTAATTCCTAACCGTATCTTGAAACGGGTAAATGGTTGAAATTTCGCAGTGCGATTTCGAGAATTGCTTATATTCGCTCCAACACTGTTTCGAGTGCGAGATTCCTACTATTCAAGGTTGCTAAATATTTCTGTACCTATTGCGTGGTTACTTCCTGGCCTTTGTCTTCAAAGTAATTGTACCCTGTCATAAGTAACTTAAAACAGCTTACAACACTCCACATTTGTAAAGGTGCATTACATCATGAACGTGTTATTATCTTCTTGCATATTGTTTTACACTTTTGCTTCCTTTCTCAGCTATATTTTGGCACCAAGTTTCTAAATAACAAATATTTACTCCATGCTCTGTTGTTTTTGCATCTTTTCATCTGTTACTACAACTGACTGGCTAACTAGTTACTTTTTATTTATTTATTTATTTATTCAAACACAAATATTGGCACAAGAGGGCAACAAATATATATATATATATGTATATAATTCCTACTCACTGACTTCTCGTGGCGGGGGTGTTGTTTACGAAAATGAGAGGACGGAAAGCGAATGTCCGGCGCTTTAACCGGATCCCAAACCAATGGTGCACGTGGGCTCCAGTATCCTGCGGGGACAAAAGGCGTATTAACCAATCGTCGGTCACCGGCTACCATGGGACTGCATCTCCTCACGATGCTCCACTGCCTTGTGGGTCAGACCTTTAGGTCAAAGGCTCGAGGTGTGACCACCTGGGAAAACCACCTGCTTCGATCTGGGCACCCGGGCAGTACCACATCCCACACACAAATATGATGAAATGTCGATATTTATGGAAAATACTTTTCTTGCTTCGATTAACAATCAAACGATTCACGTTATTATTACTATTATTGTTATTAACTAGTCACTCAAAATGCTTGACGCGATTATAATGTATTTGCCTTCAATCCATGACAACACCCATTTCGGATGGTCCAATAAATTTTACTGAATTATTTGTTTGCTTACATTTGTTAAAACATCTGTTTTAAGCCTTCTGCTGTCGTCAGCACACCACCTCATTCACCGATGGAGATCATCCCGGATACACCAATATTATCTCCGAAAACACCTCTGGGGACCAGAGAAAGTTATAAAAGCTCACCCCAAATCAATGTTATCGCGGAGGGTGTGAAGACAACTAATAATCAAACGTCATCCATGGTTAGTCATACTTTTGTTACTGAATTTAATGTTTTTATGAAGCATCCCTAGTTTCTTTTCTATTTTTTACTTGTGAAACAAGTAACTTCTTATACATTATCTTTGAAAGTTCCGTTCTAGTTACTTATATGGAAAAGATATAAGGTTAATTATCACGATTATTAAATTTAAACAACAATAACTACATAGAAAAATCCAAACACCCTTTTTTCAGGTCCTCTTCAGCATGCTATCGTAAATATGTGTCTTACCTGCAAAGAATAGTTTTGTATACTTGGCTGTGAGCTACGCTTCGTTTTGGAGCCATTCAGATTGCATGGGTGCTCAGACAGAACTATGTAGAGCGTAGTTCCAACTTAGTCGGAATCTGATCACCTTGACCTCCAAGTAATAGCTTCACTCTAGCATGTTACCCTTTGTGAAGTGGTCTCTTATTAGTTAAAGGCACTCAATCTCAACTTGTTCTGGTCAGTCAATAGTAGTGTTTGTCAACGAAAAGCTATATTTGTAAGGTAATTGTGTTTGTTGTAGGTGTTTATCACCGGATATGCTTTGAGTAAATTGTTCGTAGATCCAGCTGTTCCTTTTTTCATCATCATCTACTCTATAACATTTATTCTATTTTATTAGGGTACGCATTAACACTATCACCTTTTACCTCTCTATTGTCGGCTATTTAGGTCGAAGCGTGATTAAGCACGTTATTGTGGGAAATTCGAGGCTGTTTTTTATTATCGAGTTCATTAAATTCACTCACATGTCTATGACTAGGCACAAAGTGCTGTAGTCGCAGACAAATATAAAAGGAATATTGTCTTTTCGGTTCACGTACCAGTTTGACGGGCTAAGATTAATTCTGTGATAGATGTCTCATATGGATTTCCATTTGTTTCAGGCATTTAGCTTTTTTCCTTATATGTAATCTATTTTTAGTTTCTGTCACTCATGAAATACTTGCATTGTGTAAACGCTAACAACGTCTTACCATTCAAATGTCTTTTGATTTTCAATAACGTAAAATAGGTTAATGAATCTCTTAATGATAGCACTGATACTGCTGTAAAAGACCGAAAGCATTTTTGGGCCTACAAAGCTCGCGATGGTCCTCGCAGTCTTGGATCAAGAGAAATTCCTAAGGTTAGTCCTCTTAATTTGATGTAAACGGTCTAAAATATGATACAGTTTAGTTTAGCTCACAATCAAATGTCATTGGTGTAGAATTTTTCATGTGGCGACTATATTTTCAGTCAATAATTGGTAAAATTAATTAATTTCTTTAGCTGGTGTAACTAGTTATTTGTCTTAAGGTCAGTTAGAAAATAAATGTGCTGTACACTAGTGGTCAGACGACATTGCGAGATCAAGCCTTACATGAATGGAGCCGTTCATAGAAGTATAAGATGGGTTTTGTTGTGTCCATGAGATGGTAATATCTGCCTTAAAAGTCCTAGTGTTATGACACTACATAATCATGTTAGTATGATTAGTTGGACTGATTAAGTCTTTGACGAAGTAGACATGAGCAATGTAGACCTCGATAAAATTATCAATGTGAGGTGAAAACCCTTTACTAACATTGGAGGAAGTAATTAAAGAAGGAAAGCCATAAAAATGAAAATAATGATAAAACGTACCCTAGATTTACTAGACAAAGTCTAAGAAAATAGTCAAAAACAAAACGTACGGCATAAGAATAGTTGCATTTTTGAGACTTATCAGTCATGTTATTTTGAGTTCACTGCAACAAACAACTCAGTTTTGACGATTTCTCTCCTGCTAGCCGTAACCAAAAGATTCCGATTTCACTGAATTTGTAGCATATTTTAATTTAACTATCTTTTAAGTTATCCACTTAATATTATATGGGTTTGGGCTAAACACAATTATTAGGTATTAGGTGAAAAAAGCATAGTGCATTTTCAAATCCTAAGTGATATAGCGGTTGAAAGAAAATCTGGCTGTCCTGTACAGCAAAGCTTTTTATTTCTACTCCAGTTTACGTACCTCGTTGAGGAATGTCACATTAAGATGTTAAAAGCTGTCCACATGCATAATTGGTAAGCTATAACTAAACACTTTCTGTAGTGTGATATTTATTAATTAAGTACAGATTTATTTACTTAGATGCGTGTCTCAAGCTTTGTATAAAGCTGTCAATAGTGTCTGGGTTTTCAAACAGAAGTAACCGGGATCTTAGTTTAGATTTATGACTTACTGTCTGGAAGCGAAGTGCTTTAACCCCTTAGCCATCAGGAATTAGTGGTTGCTGTGCACTCGAAAGGTGATCGTATATAGATTTATACAGTATGGACAAGAAATGTGGTAGTGGTGGTATTTATGCAGAAAACTAGGGATTCTTATGACCAAACAGGTAGTTTACGCAATCCTTTTTAAAATTAGATGTCTTTCAGTTTTTTCGTGATTTTTGATGGTTTGTTTGAGTTTGTCAAGTACAATAGTGGAAATGTCTCTATGAGACGACATTAGCGAAATGAAATGTATTGTTATACAATTTCCGTTCCAGGGAACTCCGGATTGTTTAAAGGGACTAAACTTTCTCATCACTGGAATACTAGAGTGTATTGAACGAGAGGACGCTGCAAGTCTTATTCAGAATTGTGGTGGAAAAGTTTTAAAAACATTGGGTAAAAAGACTGATTATCTCGTTGTCGGGCGTGAACCTGGTGCAGCCAAAATCGAGAAGGTGGGTTTTGAATCTATATTGTACCAAAATATATTATTGAATAAAGCCTTTAATAGTAATAATAATTGTTTATTTATTAAGAGCAAAAAACTAATATTTGCTAATTCCCACCTTAAATTTTTTTATTTTTTCACCAGTTAAGCTACTTATTTCCAGCTATTTTAGTATAATCTTAACTCGGCTACTTATAAGTAGAAAGGAATAGTACTTTTAAACTGTAAAATTTTATATCTCAAGTATACCGTTTAGTTAGTCTACATTAAGGTACGAATATGTAATTAGGTCAACTGCTTGTTAAATTTTAACATTGGAGAAAGATTGAATAGTCTGATAATTACTGATTTCTATAGCCTATGCATATGAGAAGAAGGCTTCCACTTATTTTAAGCAGGACCAAATTGTATCTTCTCATTAATGTGGTTGTTTAAAGGAATCTCTCGGTCTCACACTTTGTTCAGATATTCCATGTCCCAATGTTTATTGTTTCCTTGGTTGTCCGACCTATTTGATTCCAAAGACGGCTTTCACCATGCGCTGTCACATGTCTTATCCATAAAGACTCTTCTCTTCCTGGAACAGAGTTGAATTCACTTTTTGTGTCTACAGATTCTGTAACTTGATTCTTTTTTACGAAAAAGAGTTTATCACCTTACATCCAACCCTCTCTCTTTTCCCGGGCTTGGGGCTGTTAGTAGCCTTGGAGGTAACTTGGGACTTCTGTGTTTCAAGAGAGGTTTTGAGACGCTAAAGTAAAAGTAAATGCTAAATTATAGTTTCTGCCTTCTGTATCTATCTGTCTTTCCCTTTATTATATTCCCACCAAGTTTTGTGCAATTATAGACGTGTGACTTCAATGGAGATGAAAAATAGCGTGTTCAAAACCTTTTTTTAATCTTATTAATTTTTTTCACCACACTCAAACACTTCTACAGTACTCATCACAGACAACCCAGATATGCAACAAGGACATTCAAACACTGAATTTGAAGCAATGCGAGTCCTTTTTATGAATCATTACGGCAGATTAATTTTCAGTCTTTGTTAATAACTTACGTGAAAATGATAATCAAAAACAAGTGTAAGGATTTAAGAGTTTCGAGGTCAACATGATACTCGAATATATTTGTAACTTTTCCCCGGCTCCAAAATAGGGTCTTTTATCTTATGAACTGTTGGGATGTGCAGATTTCTATTGCTGTGATCAACCACATGGGTCCAACATGTAGCTATCTTGACCAAGTTGTCCCCCTAAATAATCGTTTTAAAAGTTAAACAAATAAACCTTGTTCGATAAAGTGTGTTTACTTTACTTCCATCTATTCTAAATTTCTCACATATGAACTAATTATATTAGGAAAAACTGTCTTACAAATGTGATTTTGTATTAAAAAATGCATAAACTGCTTTAATCTATCGATGATAATTATAATCATTTTCTACAATTATACAATTTACCACAACACTTCCCTGATTCAATGAATATTTTCATCCTAACTGTTCATTTTGAAATTTTCATACCACTTCTGAGTATTATCATTACAGTTGTCTTCATTATGTCATGTATCACTCCACTGTTGATTTTTGTAATTAGTATTAACTTTATTATTTTCTCTACCTCGCTATAAATAATCTGTACTTGTTCCTAATGATCTCTCTCGCTCTCTTATTCCTGTGTAAATTGGGCTTATATAATCGGGGAAAATAATTGTAGCTTTTTTCTTCACCAATATACTCAATCGATTCAAACACATTACATATAAAGCATTTATAAAATTGATTCGGATATGAAAGATTTGATATATACAAAATAAATTAAATCCATTTTGTCTCACAGTATTTATTGTTCGTGTTGGCCAGTTGTTTTTGTGCATTTAAGCAGATGTTTATTGATAAGTACTGCTAATAATACATGATAAATGGGAGAAAGATCCAATACCCCTTGAATTTCAATTATTCATGGATACTACTAATCTACAAACCACTACATATAAAAGCCTAGTCTAGCATTGTGTTCACTGACAGATTAATTAACAACTGAAATGATTATGATCATTCATCGATGTTTATTGCATCTGGTACTTAGAAAGTAAAGTTTATTTATCAATTATGATCAACGTAGAACTCATAGTTAAACTGTTTAAATGGCTTCATTAATTTTTATTTTACTCACCTAAGAGTTGTTGTCTAGTATTTAAAAATATTTGATTGTCATGAATTCGAACGATACAATCGTCTTAAGAGTTTATGATTACTTTAAGTTCTGACATAATAGGTTATAACCATCTTGAAAAATCACCCGTACCTAATTACTAAATAATAACATTAGCGTAACTATCAATTTGACTCAGTGCTTTATATATTTTATCAAATCAATTGTAGTGTTATTACTAATTTATACTTTTTGGCTCAGTTATGATTGTACACCAGTTATAAACAAATCGAATATTAGAGTAGTGATGTAACAAAAAAAAATCAATTACCTTTACTTAAATGAGTTCCTTTTGAATTCTGTATTTTAGACAATGAAGGACCAGAAGAAGTACTGATATTGTGTCTATTCTAATTATGTTATTATTTGTTTGTTTTACTGTAGTTATCACCTTATACAAGTCATTTGGTCATTCGTTGTAACTCTTTAGGAAGACATTTTATCCAGTCATAAGTAGAGCTATTGTACTCTTTCGATTCTGGGCTTCGTTATTGTTGAGAAGAGCACTATTAGTAAAAGCATATACGACACTTGAAATATTTCAGTGGGAAAAATTATTTCTGTTAAACAGCACATAGTATTATTCATTTCTGTGTTTGATTTGAAATTGTTTTTCTACTCACAACTGTGTTCTTTTTTAAATTCGTGAAGGCTAACAATTTGAAAATTAAGCAAATTACCGAAGAACATCTCTTTGAAATGATAGAAAAGTCCAGTAATATTCCTCTTGTAAATCATAAATCGAATGTATCCAGCTCAGAATCTTCCAAGAAATTGGAGCCTGTAGATACAAACGATAGTAAACAAAATTTAAAAAGTCCTAAAAAATCCCCTAAGAAGAATCAATCTGCCAAATCACCGGATAATGCTCCTAAATCTCGTAAACATGAATCTCCGAATAAATGTGCAGGAAAATCTGTTATGTCCTCATGTAGTGAACTTCCTCTTACTGCACGTCCTGTTTTAACTAATAATTCAACATTTAATAATAAAACTGATCGAAGTCATAGCAGTGGTTTATCCAAAACTCCTACTAATGTCATCGATAAGCAAGATTCCCTGTCCAAGGAGATGAGTTCGAAGTTGTCTGAATTATGGGTTGATAAGTATAAACCAACGTCTATTCGCTCACTGATTGGTCAAAACGGTGCACAAAGTCCAGCCAATCGACTTTTAAATTGGTTATTTTCCTGGCACTCGAGTTTTTCAGCAGGTTTGTGGTGTATCAGTTATCTTATAACCTTTATAGTTATTAATTCTCCTTCAAACAGAAGTAATTCGATCATTAATGTAATGAATATCATTTCTCAATGTTATTTTACGTTACCTGGTGTTGCAAAACGAAAGTTGTAACATTAGGTCTGTAGATCCTTTTTTCCAGACTCTAACTTTATCTTTCAGTGTTCATGAAACGCGGAATATCAAGTGACATATATGCTGCTCGTTACGAACTTCATATTTTCATACTAGATTCATTAGCTGTTTTATTTCAAGCTTATAGCCTTTTAGTACTATTCGTATTGTCTGATAATTTGAAACTCGTTTGGTGTACTTGTGAAGCAGATTGCAGTCATTTTTGTATCGTTAAGTAGAACCTTTTTTAGTTATCTGTCATTGTGAAAATTCCATGAAATAATGTGTTTCTGCCATTCCGATGAAATATCGGTTATGTTATTCTATGACGTGGTAAAACTGGGAATCAACTGTTCTTATATTTGACCTTAGTTTTAAAATTTTGTATGCTTGTCACTTTTTAGGTTTAAAAGCGAAGGCCTACTCAAGTGCCCCTCCATGGGGCCCGTCATCTAGTGATGATGGGAAGTGGGCGCGCGCAGCACTTCTTTCGGGACCTCCAGGGATTGGCAAAACATCAACTGCTATTTTAGTATGCAAAGAACTCGGTTATACTTATTGCGAATTTAATGCATCCGATTGTCGATCCAAGCGGTGTTTAAGTGAAGAAATAGGACAATCTTTGGGTTTACGAAATTTGTCACATATGGCGTTTGGTCAAGGTATGTGTATGATGATTTTCTTCTATTTCATTTACCAGCATTTAGCGGTGATAGTTTATAAAAATCTTAGTATTTCTAAATGTTTATGTATACAGTGTTTGCATTCAAAATCATAGTAAGCAGAATGTGTTCAAGTATGTGTTTCCATGACTAAGATCTAAATACTAATGATTTACTTACCTACTTACATCTGTTACCCCTCGTGGAGGGACATAGGCCGCCCACCAGGATTCTCCATCGAATCTTTTCTAGTTGTCTACAGTTGCTATTCATTCTTTTCATGTATGCTTCTAAGTTCTTTGGCCTCCCTCTTTTCCGTTTTCTTTCAGAATTCCAAGTTAGCGCTTATCTAGTGATGCAGTTTGGTGTACGTCCTATACACTTTCAATTTCTTTTCCTAATTTCCTCCTTCAGCTGGAACCTGGTTTGTTATCTCCCCGATAGGCTGTTGCTGATGGTATCCGGCCAACGGACGATGAGTATCTTGCGTGGACAATTGTTTATAAATACTTTTACTTTCTTGATGATGGTTATGGTAGTTCTCCAAGTTTCAGTTCCGTACAGTAAAACTATCTTGACGTCCGTATTGATGATTCTGAACTTGATACTGGCTAACAGTTGTTTTGAGTCCCATATGTCCTTCAATTATAGGAATCCTGCTCTTGCTTTGCCTATCCTTGCCTTTTCGTCTGTATCCGATCCTCTTTGTTCATCGATGGTGCTTTCCAGACACGTGAAAGTTTCGACCTCTTCCAGAGCTTCTCCATCAATTATGACTGGGTTGGTGTTCTCTGTGTTGTATTTGAGGATTTTGCTCTTTCCCTTGTTTATGTTGAGGCTGCTACTACACTGGCTGTCTCGACCTGCATTTGTCCGTGCGTATAGGATAGAAGTGCCAGGTCATCTGCAAAGTCCAAATCGTCTAGTTGCATGCAAACTGTTCATTGTATTCCTTGCTTTCTCAAGAAGTGAGGGTGTTCATGATCCAGTCAAGCACTAGAAGAAAGAGTAAGGGGGAGAGTAGGCAAACTTGTTTGACTCTAGTGCTCACTTGGAATGCATCTGTCAGCTGTCTTCCATGCACGACTTTGTAGTTTAGTTCATCGTGTTAACTCTGGATGATGCTGACGATTTTCACACTATAGTGTCGACGAAGTTTCCATGAGGTTCTCCTTTTCACTCTGTCAAATACTTTCTCATAGTCAAGGAAGTTGATGTGTACTGATTGTTCAACAATAATCCATAGTGACGCAGTTTGGTTTGTTCACGATTGATCGTAACAGAATCCTGTTGGCCTGTTGATCTCGGAGTTGAGTGTCTACTGATACTTTCATTCAGTTCAACAACCCTCTGTTAAAAACGTTTACTGTTACCGCTATTGGTGTGATTCCTCTGTAGTTCCCACATTTGTTCAGATCCCCTTTCTTTGTTATATTGATGAGGTATCCTTATTTCCAGTATGTCGGCACTTGTTCTTTCTCCCAAATCTTCCCGAATAAAACGTGGAGCGTGTTTGCAGTTATTTCTGTGTCTGACTTTAGTGGTTCGAATGATATATTATCAGGTCTGTCTGCTTTCACACTCTTGATCTATTTGATGGTCATTCTGACTTGTTTGATCGTTGGTGGAGTGACACGTATAGGAATGTCTGTGGATGGTGCTTCGTTGTCCGGTGGATTTAATGGAGCAGGTCTATTCAAGAGTTCCTCGAATTATTCCACCCATCTGTTGCTCAGTTCTTGAATCTCGGTGATTGTCTTGCATTTTTTATGCTTGACCAGTCTCTCTGGTTTCCTGTATTTCCCAGACAGTTTATTCGTTGTGTGATATGGTTGTTATACATTTCCTTATCTTACAGATTTTTCCGCAGTCGTTGTTCAGTCTTCCGCGTATTTCTGCTTGTCGGCTCTAATGCTTCTCTTCACTTGCATGTTTGCTTTGGTGTATTCGGCCTGTGCATCGACTTTCTCTGTTCTTGTTCGACTGCTGTTGATCGCTGTCTTCTTGTTCTTCCTTTACTGAATCTAGTCAAGTAATTCGACAGGGATCCATTCCTCGTGATGATAATTCTTGCGTCCCAGAATCTTCTGACGCATTGAAGTTAGTGCTGCTTTGATTCCCTCCCAGTTGTCCTACATAGTGATGTTTTGTTCTTTCAGTAGATCTTGTAATGCTTGGGATCTGTTATTGAGAGTTATCTTAAGATCGTTGTGTTTGTCAGTATGTCGAGGGAAGGCTGTGTTGAACCCTTGTAATGCTGTTTTTCAGTTGTCTAGGGCTTTTTTAGATTCAGTTTCATCTTGGCAGCCACCGGTTGGCGGTGATCTGAAGCTAGCTATGTCAACTCCTCTCCTGGTTTTCACGTCTTCCATTGACCTTGCGAATTTTTCAGTGGTGCAAATGTGGCCGGTCTGATTCTCTGTAGTGAGATCTTGTGAGACACATGTAGCTTTGTGTTTGTGTGGTAATATTGTGCCGTATATAACCGTTTTTGCTGAATGCATATAAGTTTTCGAATCTCTCACCATTCTCGTTCTTTTCTCCCAGTCAGTTCATACCATCCCATGATATCTTGATATCCGGTGTTGTCCATCCCAACCCTGTGTCTAGTAAAACTGGTCTTTATCGTTTTCATTGTTATCACTATTGGGTGCATAACAGCGGGTAACATTCATTGTGTTTATCTCCTTTACTTTGAATGATGATTTGATAATTGTGGGTCCATGGGATTCCTATCATTTATTGATTTATTTGAACACATAAATATTGGTACAAATGGGCATTGAATACATATGTGCCCCACAAGTCACCTGGTTTGTGTGTGGGTTGTGGTACTGCCCGTGTGCCTAGGTGGTTTTCATAGAGGGTCACACCTGAATCCTTTGACTTAAGGGTCTGATCCACAAGGCTGTGGAGCAACGTAAGGAGATGCAATCCCATGGTAGTCCGTGACCAACAATAGGTTCATACGCAATTTGTTCCCTGAAAGCCCTGAAAGCCATGTTCACCATTTGTTCGAAAATCAGTTTTTCAACTCCTATAAGTCTTTATCCACCAACCTGGTTTCAGCGCCGAACATTTGCTTTACGTCCGCTCGATTTCGTAAACAACACACCTGCGATGAGAACGCAGTGAGTAGAGCTTGCCTGGAAGTGGCTATATATATGCGTAGCCATATGACAGCATTTCAAGAGGAAGAGCAAACTCCCCCCACTATCTCCTGTTTCTTTGTTTAAATAAATAACTAAATGAAACAATCTAAATTTAGGACTTTCAGATCTTATAGTAAACATGAAACACTTCTACTTTTTTATCATCAGAGATCAATGACTTGTAATTTGATGGTATGGACTAAATATTTTTTTTCATAGCATCAACATTAAATTCTGGTCGTCACATTTTAATTATGGACGAAGTAGATGGTATGGCTGGTAATGAAGATCGCGGAGGAATGCAAGAACTTATCAACATGATTAAAACTACTCAATTACCTATTATTTGTATGTGCAATGATCGTCAGGCTATAAAAGTCAGTAATTTGTTTTGTTTTCATTTTCTTTTATGTGTGAAATAAAATGACATGCTCTATACATGTATATATAAACAAATATTGTTTACTAACAGCTGAGAAAGTTATAAAAAAGGTCATGATTCAACTGTAAATTTAGCGCTTCAATAATAATATTAGAGTATTTTGTCTTATTGTTCATTTTGTTCAAAAGCTGGATTAATACTTAAATTGTATCGATTGTTAACATGTATCTTTAAATGGTCTCGGGGAGATTTTCACATTTGACTTTCCTCCCAGCATTTTCGACTCTGAAGGTATCTTTAACATATTAACATATTTTTAGCACACTACATGATTGAAAATGCGCATATACAAGTTTTTGCTTGATTAAGGTTTGTTAGCTATAAAAATTAAAACTTTTCAATAGCTTCGGTATTTCTTTTTCGAAGCTCTAAAATTTTTATTTTCCAAGTTAGATTCCCCCCCCCCACACAATTCCCTCTGTTACAACTCATTTACCATATTTCAAACCAATATCATACCAACAACTTCCAAACTCCATATCGTAACATGATTGGATAATCTTTTTATACACGATTGTTTTTGCGGCCTATTTATTTTTTATAATTTTGATTTTTAATTTCTCCCTTGGAGATGCTCTAACTGGACTGGTGAGCGAAACCTAGAGTTATCTCTTATAATTTCAATTACTGAGATTTTTACAAATATTTATTTACGTTTTTTGAAGCTTCACCTATATACTCGGTGTCCAAATATGCTGTGAAACTAATCATTCGTTCAAATTTAGACTTAAGTTATTATCAAATTTACTTCTTGTTGTTTAAAATTATTGATAAGCCTATCTAAGCGTCTGACCACATGACAGAATTATGCACAAATAATCTGAATTCGGAAACTAAGATTTTGTCTGAGAAGCGGTCCGATTATTCACAGAAATATATCCAAATAAGCTACAAGCCTCCGGGGCGTTTGATTGATCGATGTAGATAAAATGGTAAATGGTTCTTGAAATAATTACCGAAAGTATATTAACGACATATGATAGCATAAATTACTGTTATTATCTGTGTCTAAATTCAACAACGGCAACAGTAATCGAAAGGGCAACTGGGTACTCAAAATTTGAAGACTGTTACACTTAAAAAAGATTCAGTGATTCCAAAAAAACTAAAAATAACAGTCCAAAGTGTTTATAAGTCACGTCTATGGTTGAGTTCGCTGAATATTACAAATCTATGTAAGCACTGAGAAGTTATAGAGAACACGATATGTTATATACCCAAAATGAATAAAAGTGGAATTAACTACTGAATATTATTAAGTAGTATAACTATTACACCTGATTATAGGAATGGGGTTAAGTTGAGTAAGCTGAATTAACAGTTATAATTTTAAGGAAATTTTCCAGACAAGCTTATTAAATAATAGCAGTTAGTATTATTTTTATGTTTACTCTTACATTCTGCTATTTTAATTAGATACGCTCTCTGGCTAATTATTGTCTCGATTTAAGATTTCATCGTCCACGAGTTGAACAAATAAAGTCAGCAGTATTGTCTATTGCTTGCAAAGAAAATGTGAATTTACCTCCGGATGTATTAACAAATATTATCGATTCTAGTAATCATGATATTAGACAGGTAAAATATACAAATAAGCTCTTATCATTTTATCAAGTTGTGTTGTTTTGTTTAGAAATCCTTTAAGCTATTTCTTCCTTTTTTGGATTATCGCCTTATTTTTTATGTTATGAACTTAAACGATCTGTACATAATTTGTTGTCGATAAGAAGCCTTATTAAGATTAGGAGCTAATGGTTTATTGGGTGAAGCATTTGACATCTAAACACTAGTTCATAGGTTAAGAACCTGCTTCATCTACCTCAATTCAGGTAATTAAATAGTACTTCACCAACAACCTTTACTCGTAAAATGGGGTTTGAAGCCAAGTACTTGGACCTATGCTTTGTAAATGTCTCATTTTTTGTTGCATTAGAATAAGTGGGAAACAAATTGTAGTTCAAATGAGTCTGAAGTCTTTACTTGTTGTCCATAAGAGACATATTCTAGTAGGTTTTATTTAGATACAAGGATCTCTTCTTTAAAATGAGATGAAACAGTTATATGTACAAAGTGGATTATGACCAAGTTATTGTAACACATTTTATAATAATGTCATCCTGCAACATTTTACTAATCTTATTAGAAAGATGGGTGATGAATACATAATAAAGCAATTGTGTCAAAATTATCCACAATAATAACTGTATACGGAAGTTTAACCAGTACAACTACAAAGTTGTATTTATTTTTTCTACGAACTTAAACATATCCACTTAAGCACTTTACATCAAGTTAGTTATTCGTTCTAAACATCTATTTGGCAAGATGTATTTTCTAAAAGTGTGAACAATTTTATGATGTGCTTCACTATGTCCGAGTTATTCAATGCATGCAATTTTTGTAGTATTCAGTAAATGAATATTTCTAGCTTTGTCAAGAGCTTCAATTCATCGCGTGTTGAAAGTGTTTATGTTAAATTTCACCTACATTTTTGGGAATAATCTTTTATAAATTAGAATTTTAGTCATAGCCTTGTTTACACAAGCATATATAGAGCTTACTCAGTAAGTTTATCCGCAACATTTCAATGTTCGGTAACTGTATGTTGTATCCACAGCACTTTCGTTCATTTCTCCTCTCGATTAGCCGGTTTGTGCTACATATTGCTATGCGATTTTGATCTAGAAATTTCATTTCAAATTCCGACTTTCACAACGTTTTTATTTTTCATCCGACCTATTGCGCTGCACGACCAAAAAGTGTTCATTGCAGATTGCTACGTTTGAAGAAACAACGATATTACCTAAAATTTGCGAACGAAACAAAAGTCAACAACATAACGATAGAATAAGCTAAGCTATTCCATTTCGCCTTAGCCCTGATAACAAGAGGGAGAAGACCAGATCTAACCGATAGAAATATATATATATATATATATATATATATATATATATTCCAAAAGCAGCCAGAAGCACGAATAAACCAAGCACACAACTCATGCGTATATATATACAGTACAAGACTATCCTTGGAACATGTTACAAAATAGCGTACTAAAGGAGAAATCGAACCAATGGTATTTAAGGTCCTTCCGAATGGAAATTACAAACTTAAGGTAAAAATGGAAGCTTTTGATGCGAAAATAGTAAATCCAAATTCGCATAATAAAATCACAAAAATAAAACATTTACCAAGTGATTTCTAGGGATCTCGCATCTCCAACATAGTCAGAGATATCTTCAAACTCTTGAACAGAAATATTTGGTGGAAATTAAGCTCTAATATGAAGCACTGATACATTTAATCAACGGAAAACTGTGCGTAAAAGCTATATATGACGTACTTATTGGACAATAAGAATGTTGCTGATAACCCAAGCTTTTTTAATCACAATTTTAGTTTCAGTGTTAATCCTAAACGTATTTAGTTTTTAGCAACAATGATAACAATAGATAATTAAAAAAACAACCATGTATACTTTGTAATTTTAGGTAATTAATAATGTTCAAATGTGGTGTAGCTCTGGTTTAATTGATTCCGAAGGACTAAAAGCGGATGCATTAGGTGCACGTAAAGATCTACACTTAAATGCATTTGATGTGATTCGTAAAGTTTTTGCACCGGATATTTCTGGTTCTCAAGGCAGTGTTGCTACATTCAATGAAAGTTTAGATTTATTTTTTCAAGATTACAATTTAATTCCTTTGTTTGTTGAGGAAAATTATCTTAATGTTAGAGTTCATAATACCCAGTAAGTATTATTGTTACTATCGTTAATAATATTGTTTTTGTATACATATATGTCTTAAAAGTTTATTTATTTATTTATTTATTTAAACACATAAGCATAGGTACAAGAAGGCACCAAATAAATATGCGCCACATAAACCATTCGATTTGTGTGAGGGCTGATAAATAACTCACAATGCCAATAACTAAATCTCAAAGAAATAGGTTTTAGAAAGAGAATCGCTAGCCGATTGACTGATTACATTCAAATGATTAAGAATATTTTGCAATTCAGGTTGATACTTTTCGTAGTATTTTGTTATCTGAGCTAGATAATTTAATTGAAAAGTTTTCATTGTCGTTTTAGAAAAACTCATTAGCATCTACTTCATCCAGAAGTGGGCTTTTCATTTATCTCTCAAAGCCTAAGTCAGTTCATTCGGATGCTGTAATTTTTAAATGATTATATTCATAGGTTTCTCTATTGTCATTTGTTTGTTCATTCCTGTTGATTGTCTTCTTCAGTTGACTGTCATTCATATTTTTAATGAGCTCCTTCCGTATGGTCGATAGACGGGACATATGCCTACGTATCTATTGAATGTCATTTGATTTGAATGTGTTGCCTATAGAAATTCTCTGTCGTTCCTAGAATTCCCATTACCCAGAGTTGTGACATTTCCTGGGTCGGATACATTTTGATAGTTGTTAAAGTGGATTAATATCAATCCTATCTCATGTTATCTCACTGTCAATTTATTTCCATGTATACATAAATAAAGGGGCTCCTTACTTTGCCTGATTTAATGTTTCACCTGTTCAGTTTATTTTGTAGATGATATTGCATCTGTCTTTGATTGTCGTGTCTTTAGGTCTGCATAATAAGTTATTGAGTTTTAGCGTTGGTCCGTTGGTGAAATCGATTCTAAAGGGTTCCGCGATCATTGTAGTAGTTTCTGAGATATTTCTCACCATGCTATCGATAAGACAACTGTATTCCAAACGGGTCCTACAACCTCTACTACTTTTACTCATCAACTGGAGTACTAAAGAGACAGCGTGAAATGTGAGTCATAGCTTTACTCCAAGGCTAGTTTTTGTACAGAAAAATCGAGCGTATTTATTGAGTCACACACGACCCTGGGTTTCTGGCAATTTCTGGAGTCATACTAAATCTAGTTGCAATATAGTTACATATCGTGTTATAACCGTGGCACGTAATTCTGCATTTTCCAGATGTTTCCGAGAAACCTCCATCCAACTCTGGCTGAATCGATATTTTTTGGCGTTTCTAAGCCCCTAAAAACTTTGACGAGGGATACTTTGGGGACTCCCCCAACGACTGTATAATTTATATCTTGGTTTCCAGGGTTGACATTTTGGTGGTACGTCTATTCACCAAACACTTTGATAAAAGTGCCAGGAGAGTTATTCTTATGGAAAGCAGACAACAGATGAGTCCTTTCAATTTTTCGAATCGCGAGTGCTGTTTGGATTTTCATACATGGCGTCTGTTCACAACTATTGTACCGTTACTATTGTAGTTTTTCATACTCGGAGACTTCTACACTAACATTTCTAAAGTTCCTGTGTTTGCCCTGTCAAAACATTCATGGACGAGGTTTTGTTTTCTGGTTCTTTTTTTCTGGTAGTTTTGATATCACCGAGGAAGTTGTTCCATCAGTATTTGCATATTTTCGATTTTGTGAAATAATACCGTTATGTAGATGGATATTCAACCAAATTAGTATGACTGCCAGTTATTCGTTAGTTAAGGAGTGAGTAGACAAGAATATAATTAACTGCCACGAATTAATCAATAAGTCTTCACTTTAAACAATTTTAACACTATCCATCCCATTGAATAATATAATATTAGGTTCAATCAGTTATCTGTTACGAATCAAGTTTTTGTAGCTACTGCAATAGTAATTGTACGCAAAAAATCAATTTATCTAACCATAATTCAACTGGTTCTTTTTGATACCTCAGCGTTTTGTCTCTCTTACTGAAATCGACAGAGGCTCTGTATTCTCTGTAGTTTTGAGCGGAAGAGTCATCATTGAAACATTATTTTTAAGATTCAAGCAGTTTATTTGATGCTTATCGATTTTAGAAATTACCATTCTTATTTATTCAAGGAGATTAGTGTTCCATATTCTGCTCTAATCGATACAAATACACTGATAGCGAAGAACTAAAAAGCTTGAGTAGCTGTTGTAACATCCTACCAATATGAATTGTGACATTGTTATTTTGAGGCGTATCGTCAGTGTTAAATGTATGAGTGTAGCCTTTAGCAGGTTGGACGTTTAGGTAGCACCACTAGCCCGCACATTTATAGTATCGTTCAAAAAAACTGTACGTAGTGAGTTACATTAAACTAATAGACTCATAAAATATTATTTTATAAATTATTTACTTTCGCTGTATATATTGTAAGAAAGTAAGGTATGGTTTGTGACTCGCACATTTTCGTACTGTTTATATTTGTATTAATAGTGTCCATCGGTTCGTTCGTATGTAATTGGTTAACTTTGTTTTAGTGACGATAAAAAAATTTTGCAATTAATGTCTCAAGCAGCGTCTGACATCGCCACGGCAGATATCATTTCATCTACTATCAGATCATCACGTACGGGATCATGGTCTTTATTACCTGTTCAAGGTGTGTTCAGTACAGTTTCACCTGGTCGTACTCTTCGTGGCTCTTTACCTGGTGGCCCAGGTGGTGTTTCATTTCCTTCTTGGTTTGGTAAAAACAGTACACAAAGCCGTATCAATCGGACTACTTCGGAATTAGCTGCACATTTACGATTAGCAACTCATTGTGGTTCATCAAATCCGCTTACATTATTGCTAGATTATGCTACACCAATCTCTGAACTTATCACTCGTCCACTTAAAGAAGGTAACATTCTTACAATTTTTTGAGTATTTGAAATGTTTTGGAAAGGAAATCGGTCCAATAATAAGTGCGCATGATTTTCCAAGAAATAACTTCCATTTCTAAACAGTTGGAGAGATATTTAGATTCTTTAGTAAATATATATAGCACTAAAAAGCTGTGTATTTCTAAATTCTGTAAAAAAGCTAACACATTTCAGTAAAATGTTAAGGTTTCAAAAATCATTATGAAGGTTATAATCATTTACTGTCTAATGTACATCAGGGAAAAGTTTTCTGTTTGATAGATCTTCAAACAAAAGTTGAGGAGTTTGAGTAATCGTGTGGAAGTTAAACCCATCTATCTGTGTTTTATCATCTAAACAACTAGCGATAAATTCACAAACCTAATATTGCTGATATTTTTCTCATGATTCATAGGTTGCTCAAAACTTGTACTTTCCCAAATTTTCAGTTCAACGAATACCTCATGTTACTGTCCAAACTAAATTATAAAAACACAGTATATTGCCATTTTATAAAGCTCAATGGGATATAAGCAAAATTAATTAGCCTGATGATAATTAACGAACTTTTATGCGTCATCGACGCAAGCTTTGGAGATAATAGGTTGGTTGGTGAAGCGATGGATCAGTGTTTAAGGGTTTTAGCTTTCAGCTAATAAGTTTGAGGATCGAATCCCTATCCACGTACTTTCGTTTGAGTAAATGGACAGTGTCATTAGCTTTAATGCTTAAAATGTGGTTTTAAGCTAAGTATACGAATCTGTACACCTGATAATTCAGTTGATAAAAATACTGGTAAAATTAGCTAAAAGAGAGCTTACAATGTGAACCATGTAAAAATTTAACCAATAACATCAAATCATTTACCCGAATTGAAGCGAATCGGGGTTCGAACGTAAGAACAAGTGACCGAAAATCGAGTGCCCCAACCAATAAGATACCTCATTGCGTTGAGTTAATAACATAATCTTCGTCCTCATTTTACATTTTATCTAGTCTTTTTGTTTACATTTTCTTTTATATAAGACTTGTAATAGTTTTCGAAACTTTCTCATTTAAATCATCATGTGTTTTCTTATTATTATTAAAGAAAATACTTGTGTATTTATTTCAACAAGTGTTTGTTTAATTGTTTATATTTAAGGTGATATTGACAGTGCTATTCAATTTCTAATTAATTATCAAATAACAAGAGAAGATGTTGACTCTATAATGGAATTAACTACTTGGCCGAATCGACCGAATCGAATGCTTAGTGTTGATTCGAAAGTAAGTTATCAGCATACATATTGACAATCTTTTTTCATGATGTTACCCCCTTTTAAATAGCTTTAACATCAATACCATATCAGTTTCTGTTTTATAAATTAGAAGACGGTACATGTGTAAGTGAACAGTTTTGTTTTTATAAATAAATAATATATTTTTGTAATATCCCGATGAGTAGAAAAATTAGATTTTCTGACGTTTCGTGACTTAGTGCAAGTCACTTCTTCAGAGAATAAATAACCAAATTAAAATTAATCCAAGTTTATATATATAATACTATACTAATCAATATAATTTATGAGATTTTAGTATTAATGCAATATGATTATTGTTATGTCTTTATGCCCAGGTTAATGTATCACGTGATACGATCGCCAATTAGAACACCGACTTACTGACCAGACCAATAATGCATAAACCATTACGAGCAGTCCAGCGTGAATTCTGAGTTCTTATTGATCCACTAAGATAGTAGCTCCTCGTTTAACCCAGCTAATTTAGTACAAAACACCAATATCAGTCTCCGTTATACTGATCATATATTTCAGACACAAAGGGTTTATGCACAAATAAACTAGATCTCATCGTATCATAAAACAGAAAATAACAATTATACAAGATCAAACCAAAAAGTGGCTGTAATTGTGATAGACTGCTACTAATAGATTAGAAATATCTTAAGAATAGTAACTCGTATAATAGTAGTCAATAGATCATATAAAAGCTCGTAATAAATGGAATATGAATATACATATAATATTGTTACTTAAGTTATACAATAAGAATATGTATAATAATAATAATAATAATAATAATAATAATAATAATAATAATAATAATAATAATAATAATAATAATAATAATAATAATAATAACCCATAAATAGATCCTAGCGGTTACTATTCATCTTCTTTATCCGGATATAACAAATATACCTAAGAAATTTTAATGTTAATCGTACGGATTGTGATTCTAAGGTGACAGGTATATATTAGTATATATAAGAATAATAAATGACATGAGCATATATATTGATGTAGCAAATAGGTTAGAACTTCGAAAGATGAACTCATTAAAATAATTATTATTAAAAATCAAATGATAAACGAGTGCTGTGTGTAAATAATCAGTTTAAATAATATATATCTAGTAAAGACAAGGTACAAAAAGAATGTCGATAAATAAAGGGTGATAAAAACTGATAAAATTGTTTACCAATTCCTATTCGACCAATGAAAAGAAAGTTTAGGGTTTTCTTTTAAATTCAGAAAGGGGTTTTGTGGATATTATAGTAATTTTTTAATAGTTGAGATCATGAGTCAATTGGAGCTAGACCACCATGAAAAACTTGGGAGCACTGGACGGCCGTTTTGTCCTATTTTGGGACTGCTCAGCATTGTGCATCCACGATCCTGCCTCGCGAGATTCTAACCCGGGACCTATCAGTCTCGCGCGCGAACACTTAACCTCTACACCACTGAGCTGGCATCCAACGGTGTTAATATCTAACTTCAACTAATTCATGAAATTGAGTGACACATTTACCATTGTCTTCAGTGAGTTACTATCTCACAACAGATCTAATTGAACTCCTATTGTCACTGCTTCTTACTAGAACTCCAGGAAATACCTCTTGGAGACAGTCACTAGTGCGCATATGTTAATCAATATCAGAAGGGATTTTGTGGATATTTTAGTAATTTTTAAGGTTTTTTAAACTTGAGTCTCTGTAGTTTTTGGTGTATATAAGAGATAACAGGATATTATTGTTCGTTTATGTGTTGATTTAATAATAATACTTTGAACTTGAATAATTGTGGATCTAATAATCTGTTGTTTGACTAAATTCTCTATAGCACCGCCTTGGTTAAAAAAGGCATGAACGTTATAATCAGATCTCATAAATAATTTTATAGTGTAATTTATGGCAAACGGATGTTTTCTGTAATGATTTGTAGTTATCCGACTAAATACCATATTTATTGTAGATTAATGAGGGCAAAGAAATGAATCATATAAAACTTCCTTGTTTTTAAGAGTTAATATGAAATGAAATATGACATTCACTAGGGATTATTCAAGCTTCAAAATAGGCGATGTTCATATACACCTGTTTTGAATCGTCGATTTTTTTTATCATTAAGCCCAGAAGAAATTAATATGATTAACTTAAATAGGGCTGTCTTTATTTTAATAGTCATCAATGTGCTAATGAAAACGCTGTTAGAAGAGCCTTAAAAATATCCTTCGTCAAAGTCTTTAGGGGCCCAGAAACACTAGGAGCCACTGATCCAGTCAGCGTTGGATGTAAGCTTCTTGGAAACATTTAGAAAATGTAGAATAACGTGCCATGGTCCTAATTGGATATTTAACTATACTGCTGCTAAGTTTAATATGGCTTTAGAAATTGCCAGAAACCCAAAGTCGTGTATATCTACAAATACTATCGTTTCCCTGTCAATAAACTTAACCGTAGAGTAAAACGTTCTTTCTGCACGTCGTGCTTTTTCTCTTGTGTTTAAATTCCCGCGAAAACTTAAACTTAGAGGTTACTGGTAGCGGATGAGAAATCGCATCGATTGTTCTTTGAGCAGACTTACCACACACATGTATAGGTTCTAATGTATCATATATACGCAACAGTTTACTAACTCCTTGTTTTGTTAAGGTTGTATCAATCGTTAATAGAAACAAATTTTTGTGTAGACTTTTCACTCCATACTTTTTACTTGAAGAATGAGATACATTGAAATTCAACGTAAATGTTTACTTTAATTACGTTTTTATGTTTTTTATCTGCTCGCTTTATGTACAACTTTAAAAGTTTGTTTTGACAGCATTGATTTGGTGAATAGAAGTGAAACTGTTGTTGCCCGCATTGTTATTGTATTTTTCACTGGTTTAATTAATCATGTTACTTCTGATATTCAATACATAGGGATATAATTCTTTATGAATCCCAGTCTTAGTTAAGTAGAATATCTCCACTTGTTTTTCTTAGTGTTTCTATCTTCTGAAATCTTTTTCTATCAAGATCAATATGCTGGATTTAATGAATGATCAATTGGATTATATTAATTTGAAATAATCAGTCTGTTTGCTAAATGTGGTTAGTATGATGCGATGTTTTTTTTTCTTCAGAACAATACATTTCTAACAATTATGACTGATCAAAATTCAGTCATAAACATCAACAACATGATAATCCAAACTATTTCAGTTTCAATTAGAATCTATTCGTGTTTCATAAGCTTGTGAGGTATCTTAACTCGGTAGCTCTGTGGATAATGGATGGTATGTGTAAAACGAAAGGATACTAGTTTCGAGTACTAGCGTGAATGTCTACACTGAGATGCAAGTATATACATGGATTAGTTCTGAATAAGATAAAGTGCGTGTCTTGGATTTCATCACTGACCTTATTCCCTCTATTATGTAGGAACCTATTTAAGGTATTTTTACATGAAAAATAAATGAAAAATAAAATGAGGCAAATTAAAAGAAAAGACAAAGGAATTCTAGAAAATAATGGGACTTACATCACTCTATATAATAAATCACTATTAACAGGGTAAGTTTAAGGTGAGAACAAATTCTCCAGCACGCAGGGAGGGGCAATTAAATTGTCAGGTAGCTACGGCTTCAATCATACAGTATTGTTCTTCTGTCCATATCTGTAGAATACCACAAAGATTTATTGAATACCAACCCTATGACAATTTCTAACTAAATGTTTCGTAATTGAATATGTTTGACTATATATGGTATTTAGTCAAATGAATTTCACTGTCATATCACCTGCTTATTCTATTATATTATTTAGATAAATTAATTTTATAACTTTCGTAAATCAACTTTCTGACTGTTATAGTTAGCTCATTTAAATAATTTATTATTAATGTACTCATTTATATCCTTTTTAAGGTCAAAGCTGCATTAACACGTACGTATAATAAATCATCGCATTTACTACCGTATGTCATCTCATCAAGTGGTTCCTTTAAACGTAAACGTGGTGGTGGTGCTACAGTTTCATTTGAAGGGGAAATTGAAAATGATTCTGGTCTATTCGACGATGATGATGAAGAAGAAGAACAGGAAGACGAGAAAGTCGACCTGAAAAATGATGCCATGATTTTAGTATGTTGCAACGATTGTCCATATAAAAATTTATTGCATTTTGTAAAGAATAATATTATATCTTATGACTATGAGGTGAATATCTTCTACCAAGATGAGATCCATAGATATGTATGTTCATCTGCTCGTATATGTAAGGCTTTTAATTCTAAATTGAATAGTATACATCTGAATTCAAGATGTCAGTACTTTATATTATATTTGAATTGAAATTGCTAATTATTGAATAAAGGAAAACGCCTTAAACAGCATTAATAAATTACTTTTACCTTTGTATTGTTGCACTGTAGATATTTGTCTGTTTTGATTTGAACAATCTACATAATACAACAATGTACACTGACATTTTCTGTTGTCTTCTGCTCACCGTCGTCATTTGTTTTTGTTGTGAGGGGCGGTGTCCAAAATCTGATACTGATAAGCGGTGTGTTACGCGCCGACTCCCCAACTGACTACTTGAGTGAAAACACAAGAGTGAGTGAGAAACTGTATTGAACTACCGAATAAAATGTACAAATACTTATTCATAAATATATATACCACTCTAATCCTTAGGAAATTGATCCATTATTTAGCCAATGAAATGCACTTGTCCTTTAGGCTACTTCTGATTGGCTCCCCATATGAGTATTTTTTGTTTTTCGTTGTTATCATACTTATATTTATCAGTTATCTATCCTTTGGTTTTCCTTCTATATCTAATATATATATATTTTTTCTAGATTAAAAAAGAAGATCCAAAAAAGCGCATAAACACTGAGAAATCCAAATTACAACGAGGAGAGCAATGTTCATCTTCTGATAGCAACAATACAAAAGAACGTGGTCGAGGTCGTGGTCGCGGTAGAGGTAGAGGTAGAGGGAAAGATTGAAACACATATACATACATTCATTCGCTTGTTGTTATTCTTACGGTTTCGATAGCATTTCATCTCATCACTAAACGCTGTACAAAAGATAAACAAATCTATTTGTTTGTTTGTTTTTTTATTGAAAATAAGAAATATGTATTTTTATCTTTACCCTGCCATTGTTTATTTAATAGGTTCTATTTTTTTTCTTAACTTATTGGGTTAAACTGCATTGTTCTATTGTTAAACATCAGATTATAGATTCAATAAATGTAATTGTATTATTTGTTTTTGCTCTTATTTCTACTAAATTTTGCTTGCTTGTACTTGTATGTTGTTGCATGATACTACAAATGTCATATCTGATCTGGCAAAATAGTATCAGGTGAATGTGTTTATTTTTGTTGTCTGTTCATTTATAGTCTTACGAATTCTAAGTCCTTTTAGTTTAATTCAAATCCAACCATAAGATAGTCTGAACTATACTATACGCTTCTAATCAGTAACTTATCTAGATATGTAGTAAATTGATTACATGTCGATTTAGTTATCTGTTATTGGTAAGCTTTAATAACTATTGAGCTAATAAAAATTGGTGACCAATGTACACAATATCCGATCACTCATACAGTTCATTTGAATCATCAAGCATTTAAATCCTTTTATTTGTAAATGTTTTAATCTTCACTTTGTTAATTTTAAGGACTATGATTGGTCAGTGTCTATTGGCATATGTACATTCTTAGCAGATTGTCTCGCTATTGCCGTTGAGTAACAAGTTTTTTTAAACAAAGTTAGATATTGGGTAGCAGTGGAATCCAAGACGCGCGTTTAATCACATTTGATACTCTTCCATTGTATGTACTTAGATCCTAGTGTGAATACTTACTCTAGGACTTCAATTCAATGTCTTTCACTTCAAACACCCAATGAGTTATCCACTTAGCTAGTGAGTTCTTCGGGGTTTATTAGATAATATTTGTAATCCCTTTTGTAAAGTGACTAGTTTACTAATCGAGATGATCATTTGTTTCCTTTGGGTTTTACCACTTGATAGCTTATTTAATTTCATTAATCTACTTTTTCGTTTTATGGCTCTACCACAATCAACAAAACTGCTAGATGCTTCCTCGTTTGCAACGGCTATCTGACTAAAACTAATCCACAATGTAAACTATGGTATTCATATTTTTCAATACAATTCGTTCCTTATTATCGTATCAACTTACTCCATTATATTTGGGGATCTTTGTTGTTTCAGTCGAATGTTGTGTGTTTAGTGCCATTGATGCTTTTACTTTATTTCTAATATGTACAGATCTATACTACACAACTTTATGTCACATTAACTGTATGGGAGATGTAGTATTAACTAGCCCCCCCTCGAGTAGAAATAGGCGGAATGGATTCATAACGGGTAACCTGTTGATCGAAAGCCGATAGCTCAAACTACTCAGCATCTACTATTGCACAAATGTATATGTTTATTGATTAAATCATATACAATATGTTGGAATCAATTTTCGTTAGTATAAAACAGAAAACTACTGGATTAGTATTTGTTTATTGTTTGATTTTGTGATCAAAATTCTTTAAGTTTAAGCTAAACGTATTGGTTCAATGATTAAAACATTCGATAATTGACTACTGGGTTATGGTTTTGAATCTCAATTCATTTACGGCACTTTAAACAGAAGAGGATTATTAATTGTTATTATCCCGAGAAATTGTAGCTCAAAATTGAGTTTCCAAATATTAACTTAGTCAATGAGTTGCTGCAAAATTTGTCAGAAATTAAAAAATCATGTAAATATCTTTTTTTGTCATGTATTTTTCACTGTTTAATAGTAAGCATCTAAAGCCATCTTCAGTAGTTATAATATAAAGGAACTGGCGTTAGTTGATAACATTTTTGATTGGATATTAACCTGTTATTGATTATGATTTACCATGAGTTTGCATACACAACGATTATTAATTTATTATCTTTCACGTTGTATACTTTACTAAATCGAACTAGTTATTATATGATTTCATATTAGTATGAATATACTCTACTTTATCATATGACTTCACACTGTAATCTTGCGTTATTACCGTCTTTAATTTGCCAAGTCATCTCATGTAAACATTAAATGTTCGAAAAAATATGTTACTTTTGTTCGAATCTCTCGGGGGGTGCGAGATCGTGGATGTGCACTGCTGAGGAGTCCCACAATAGGACGAAACAGCCGTCCAGTGCCTCAAGGTTTTCCATGGTGATCTAGCTTCAACTGACTCATGATTTCAACCATTGACATTTTAAGTGTTCATTATTTAGAAACTTACATATAGTTGATAATATAATCTATTGCATGCTTAAGTAAATTAGACTGATCACGTTTTTATTTGCATAACTGGAACTCTATATTGATTGTTTAAAAAAGATGAATTTATTAGTTTATTGGTTGTGTCATTGAAATAGAAATTAATCCTTTCAGTTTTGTATTTTTAGATTCTTCAAAGTGTTTATCGATTCAACAAGCTTCAAAAATTCCCTGCTTATCTATTTTCATTCTGTGTACAGTTGACTAAAAGTGAGATATTTCTTGTAATATACATTTGTATCATCGTTACATGCTTTCGCAGTACTTACCTTTATGAGTTAGCTTCAGTATTTAAAAAAATGATACCAATGTAACTGATGATACGGACTATGCTTATTGAGCTACAATTTTCAACAATATAGTCTTCACATAATCACAATGGTAGCGTCAACACTAATTTCGTTGTTTTCATATAAAGTAAATGTACATGGTAAATATGAGGTTAGAGAGTGAATTGGTTGATCAGTAGCTTAGTAAATATATTTAGCTGTGAGTTAGCGGATTTGAAATTTAATTCATGTACTCCACCATTTCGGTTTGAGTAATCGGTTAATATCATTAGCTGTAATATAATATAATCCGATTTGGTGTTCAGTTTGTAAGTTACGATATTCGTTAATTTTTACTATACTGTGAGATGGTGAAGATTTACTTAGGTGGGTGTTTTTGGTACGGTTTTATTCTCGGACCTTAATTGTTTAGTTGTGAGATTATCTTTTCCTTCTAGACAATATCATTAAGATTAAACGTTAGATAGAAGTAAACTATTCTGAGTTATTTTTCCACAAAGGGTGATAATGTCCTAAAAGACAATGAAAACTTCACTACTCAGTTCATAATACTAAACTCCACCAAAATCACTGTATCGTTGATAACTTTTAGAGAGCAAAAACAAAGATTGGTGCAGAATAATCTGTATTCATTTTATTTCGTTAGGTTCTCATCAGCTGCTTACAACCTAAAATTTTTAAAATTCAACATTATTACAGACATACTTATACATAAGAAGGTGATTAAGGATGAATAAATGTATCATGGTGTAGCGAAGATTCCGATAGAGTTAATGAGACCATAAAATTTTTGTCTCGAATAAATAAAGTTAGAGAGGGAAAGTTCCAGAACATTGAAATGGTGATTAGAACTCATGAAAATAGATTAATGGTAATAAAGAAAATATGAATTGAAATCAGCCAGTTATGTATTATGTAATTTAAACTTCTGAAAGAGTTGGGATAATGACGCAATAAATAAATAAATAGAAATACATGAATAAAAAAGGGGGGTTATTGTTACCAGGGTAAAGAAAGATTTATTACTGTCTCTTTTTGTATACATAGGTCTGGTTTTAGACGTTTGATTGCTAATGTTTCAGCAACTTTCAGAAGGTTGGAGCTTGATTGTTTAATAATCACCTTGAAGGACTTCAGTGTATCGACGCCGTGTCCTGTGTCAAGAAGATGTCTTGCGATGACACTGTTGAATGCTTTAAATTTATTTGGTGTTAAACTTTTCGGAATATGTTCTTTGAATCGGACGCAGGCTCTTTATGTCATTTTGGTCCTTTTTGAATAGTCCATTAACAAGCTGTTAAAATTTGGTCTCTCATCATAACCTTTTGTCATTGACTAAAGCTAATGTTTTCTAAACTATAATATTTATTTCACAAGTTGAAATCATGAGCCAATTGAAGCTAGACCACCATGGAAAACCTGGAAGCACTGTACGGCCGTTTCGTCCTAGTATGGGACTCCCTAGCAGCGCGCATCCACGAACCCGCCCCCCGCGGGATTCGAACTCAGGACCCACTGGCTTCGCGCGCAAGCACCTAACCACTAGACCACTGAGCCGGCATCCAACGGTGTTAATGTCTAACTTCAACCAATCCACGAAGTTGCGCCACCGTACACCATTGTCTTCAGTGAGTTCTTATCCCACAACAGACCTGGTTGAACTCCACTGGTAACGACTTCTCATTAGAACTCCAGGAGTGTCTCCTGAAGTCAGTCACTAGTGAGCAGGTGATTATTATTATCAGAATGGGTTTTGTGGAGATTTTTAGAAATTTCACAAGTTGAAATCATGAGCCAATTGAAGCCAGTAGGTCCTGGGTTCGAATCCCGCGGGGGACGGGTTCGTGGATGCTCACTGCTGAGAAGTCCCATACCAGGACGAAACGGCCGTCCAGTGCTTCCAGGTTTTCCATGGTGGTCTAGCTTCGATTGGCTCATGATTTCAACTTGTGAAATTTCTAAAAATCTCCACAAAACCCATTCTTATTATAATATTTATGTTATTTATGACAATTCTTACCAATAATTTCCGAAAGTGTTTTTATTCTTTACCTTGACCTCCTTCTTACTCAGGGCTGCCTCATTAGATTAAAATCTATTTCAGATGTCATATTACACGTTAACATGTATTTTAGTTATGACCATATTTGTAGTGTTATGTATGTGAAGGTGTTGTTAAATTAGATTATCATAAGTGGCATACTTTATTGTATTTCAGAAAGTTTAAAAGATTATATTAAATATTTATTTAGTGTTATTCCTTGGTAGTACACACTTCAATTTATAAAAGTTAATAAAGAACATGATCAGTAGCTTTTCTGTTCACTTTCTTGATTCATTTCTATATTTATCATGGTTATATTTTTAGAAATAATACTTTCTTTATCGATCTTTCCAAGGATTATTCTCTTACTACGAAATTCAATTATCAACTTGGAGTACCCAGATTACACTTTTCTGTTTTTAAATAAAAGAGACGCTAATAATAATCTAACTTCTCAGCTGTCCGTCTTCTTAATTATTTCTTGTTGCGTGAATGTAGTATCACGACTTTGGTTGATGTACGTTAGTTTCAGCTCCTACGTTGTTTACGACTTGGAACAACTTAAAAGCAATCATTTTGTCATACTATGTAGTTGTTGACTTAAAGTACAATTCTTCATTTGATTGAAATCACGAATGGATTTAAGTTAGACAACCATTGAAAATCTAGAGGCAATGTGATGATTTAAGGTGTTATTCTTGTTGATATATCTTTCCAACGATAGATTATTAGAATGATTTAAGTTGCTAAATGTCAATTATTGTTTGTTTGATTTAGATTAATAGCTGTTTACTTGCAATTGTTGTAACTGAGATGATGGAGAAGATTTGTGGCTCAGATGGATGATTTTGATGGAGTTTTGTTTTCTGAGCTGGATGGTTTGGTCGTGGAACTTTCATCGTCCTTCTGGACGACATCATCAGCACAAACTTTAGATAGCAGTTATATTAGGGCTGCGTGAGAAAATTATCAATATATATGTCGAATGAATAGTTGTATCAGGGATTGTCAAAAAAAGGATTAGCAATAGCGAACCTAATTTGAGTAAAACGAATGAATTCCACAATAAAAGGTATAAAATTAGTTTGAAATTTACGATTTCAGGGTAGACAAATAGTGAATGCATCTACACTTTCCTATTTATTATACAATGAGAATACAGAAAGCAGGTGCATCCATCTGATCACTGCCAAACAGGACGAAACGCGCGTCCTCGATTCCACTGCTAGCCACCATCCATCTTTGCTTATAATAGAAAGATTACGTTGCGAATGTTACCAACTTTAAAAAATGCATTTCCTAATTTGAAATTTATGTACAATTAAATAGGACTAATAATTTAGTTAAAACGTTGAGTTTAATACCACTGCAAACACTTGCTTAAAAGTACTATTTCGTAGTTAATATTACCATTCACTTGTTGATATGTATTGTAATTATTAAATTATCGAATAAATCATTCCAACATTCATTCTCATGAAGTATTGAGAGCGGTAGTTTATAATTTTGCCTATACAACACAAAACCCACACCAACTACTTCACCTGATATCGTATATACAAACATATGATTCTCTTGACAAAATCTACTCGTTTCCAAACTACTTATCAAAATAGCATAAAATTGTGAATATTTTCGACAACATGAACCTATTATATAATCGGAATAGTAGCTATGTAGTTAAAACGTTCAACTTTTAGCCACTAGAACTCATACTTGATAAGTACCCTGCCATATCGCATAACTGCCTCTCACACTTGTGATGTGGCTCTAAACCAAGTACAAGAAAATATCACTTAGTAAATCAGTCGACTTAAATATAATTGGGCTTTACTCAATCAATTTTTTTAGTCAATAATCATACTGTGTTGTTCTCGTCTTTCATGTAGCTAACAATATTTCATTGTTATCAATGATAGCTAATTCAAAACTGCGTATCGGTACACATGATGGACGATTCCATGCAGATGAAATACTTGCATGTGCAATGCTTAAACATTTACCGGAATACTCAAATGCTGAAATTATACGCACAAGAGATTCAAGTATTTTGTCAACATGTGATATCGTCGTTGACGTTGGCGGTGTATTCAATGCTGAAAATCATCTATACGACCATCATCAAAGGTTAGCATTATAATTTGTTAAAATTAACCCAGCTTTTTTCCTCTTTTCTTTAAATCTTACTTTTTGTAGAGAATTCAACCTTACTTATAAAGATTTTTATCCGAATTCTGATTGGGATATAAAATTAAGTAGTGCAGGTTTGATATACGTTCATTTCGGTCGAAAAATACTAAGTTGTATACTTGGTATAGATGAGAATACTATGGATCCATTAGTGACGGCACTTTTTGATAAGGTAGGTTTTGTACATTAAGAAATTGATTATTTCTGGATGCGATTTTCTTCCTTCAGAATTTGACAAAAGATTTTCTCCCTTTATTTATGTTATTATAGATGTATAGTTCATTTATTGTTGAGATAGACGCTATCGATAATGGTGTTCCGATGGCAATAACACCTTTAAGGTTGTTTGAATTTTCAAATTGATATTTAATCATTTTGAATTCTAGATATTCTATGAATACATCTTTAAGTAGTCGAGTGAATCGTATGAATCCAGCTTGGAATCAATTGGATACAGATGAAACTGTAAGTTGATATACATGTCTATTTTTCCAAGATTACAAATGAAAGTCTACAGTATAATAATTCCAGTCTCAGAATGAACATCAACTCTGGGATGCAGACACACCTAGCTGACTAGTTTCATATGGGAAGAAGTGTGTGTCCTAGAGGTCTAATCCACAAGACAGTGAAGCAACGTAAGGAGATGCAGTCCCATTGTAGTCGATTGTCAACATCAGGTTCACACACCATTTGTTCCCTCAGGATCCTAGAGCCCATATGCACCACTGGTTGGGAATCATGGTTCTCAAGCTCCCTTAGGTAGATCCTCCATATCCACTAACCTGGTTAAGGCATCGGACATTCGCTTTTCATTTTCTCAATTTCGTAAACAATAGTAATGCCGCGAGAAGGCAATGAGTAGGACTTTTCTGGCGGAGGCTATATACGCGTGGCCATGTGAGATCATTTACAGAGGAAGAGTTAACTCTTCCCACTTTCGACCATACGAGAGCATTTTAGTAAAATAACTTCACACCAGTTGAAAAATTAAATCTAATTTTCGCTACATAATAAACTTTCTTACTTAATATAAGATTATAGTTAGACGATAACAACAATGAGAACATATCTGTCATCGTACTGCAGTATTTATGTATTCCATTTTGTAATACATAAAGAAAACTATTCTTCATTTCAAAGTAAACATTATCTAACACTTAAGATTAACTTCCTTTTTAATGGTATATTATGGCCCATAGTACGATAAAAGTGCTCACGCGCGAAACCAGTAGGCCCTGGGTTCGAATCTTGCAGGGGGCGAGGTCGTGGATGCGCACTGCTAAGGAGTCCCACAATAGGACGAAACGGCAGTCCAGTGCTTCCAGGTTTTCCATGGTGGTCCAGCTTCAACTGACTCATGATCTTAACCATTGAAATTACTATAATATCCATAAAACCCATCTGATATTTAAAAAAAAACTAAATTTTGTAAGGGACTATTAGATTACTCTAAACATAATCATTTTTATATGATTAGTCTTTTTTTATACGATATTAATAATTTTTTGTATATGTGTATATCCATTTATTTTAGATTTGTTTTCATAATGCATTACAATTAGTTGATAAAGAATTTATTACATTAGTTCATTTCTATGCTGATACATGGTATCCAGCTCGTGAAATTGTATTAAATGCTGTGAAAAATCGATATTCCATTGATTCATCTGGTACAATAATTTATATTGAAGGTACTGGATGTCCTTGGAATGCACATTTTTTTGAAATTGAAAAATCTTTATTATTAAATAATGTAAATGTAAATGAAATTGAAAAACAGAATCAAATTCTATTTGTTATTTATCAACGTAAAGATAGTACATGGACCATACAAGCTATACCAATGAATGAGCATAATAATTTTTCACAAAGGTAAGTTTTTATTTTATTATTGTGAAATATGTATATTATAGTTGTAGTACTCATTAGTAACTAGTCTTTTCCAATGGTTAAGATCATGAGTCAGTTGAAGCTAGACCACCATGGAAAACTTGGAAGCACTGGACGGCCGTTTCGTTCTATTGTAGGACTCCTCAGCAGTGCGCATCCACGACCTCGCTCCTATGGGGTTTGAACCCAGGACGAACCGGCCGTCCAATGCTGCCAGGTTTTCCATGGTGGTCTAGTTTCAACTGATTCATGATTTTAACCATTGAAATTACTATAATATTCACAAAACCCATCTGATATTAACTAGTCTTTCTGTTGTATAATTTCTTAGTGATCGGTTAATCGTAAACTAACTATTGTGTCATTAGTTGACACACTTTGTTTTTAACTGTTCATCTATATTGGACTAGTTGTTTTTTTGTACTTGTCTGTCCTGAGTTCATGGTTATTATGGAGCTTCTCACCTATAACTAGAGATCTTTTTAAATCCTAAACCAATCATTATTTATTAGTATTAGAGGTTTGTACAGATTAATGGATGTCATTTATATCATATACCGATCTAATTTAGATAGCCACTAAAAACCGAAAAGCACTGAACATATGATTCGCACTTAGCAATGTGTGTCGACCGAGGACCAGACTCAGGTCTCAATGGCGGACATATGACGTGCATTAGTGAATTCCAGCTTAGTGGTTTGGAGGTTGTGGTTGCGTGCGAGACCGGATTTGATCCACGGTAAGGTCGTTGGTGCGCACGGTTTAGGAGTCGCATACTACTACTCCTCAGCTGTCCAGTGCTTTTTGGATTTCAGTGAATGTCTGAATTATGTTGGTTCGTGATATTAATGGCTATTTGTTAATTATGGCGTAATCATATATATATATATATATATATATATATATATATATATATATATATATATATATTATTCCGGTGAATCCAACGTCATTTTTTTTCGAATTTACATTATTTTAGACTTCCTCTACCTGAAAGTTGGAGAGGTTTACGTGATGAACAGTTAAGTAGTATTGTTGGGCTGCCTGATTGTATATTTGTACATTCTACTGGGTTCTTAGGTGTACATAAAACTCGTGACGGTGTTCTACAAATGGCAAGATTAACCATAAAAATGAAAGAAAATCAGTAACTTCTGTTCTCTTTTATCATTATCTATTTTTATCCTGGTTTCTAAAGCTAAAAAATACACGTATATGCTTCTTGAAATCTCCTTCTTTTCATCTTTTAAAGTATGATAGCGGGAGGGGTTTACTAACTGGATGATCGATCTCAAGTACATGATTGGAACAGTTACTTACTGGTTAAAGCAATTAACTTTAACTAAATGTTTCAACCACATTCTGTTTACAATGGCCTAGACAGTCGGATATTATCACTGAAATGCACACAATTCGTATTAATTATCAAAAAATCAATTATGAGATACATATTCATGTATTTTACATCAAGACACCCGTAGTGGGCGAGGTAGTGATACTTATCTGGTTGTTCAGACTGGACTGTGTAGGGCGTGATTCAAGCCTGTAACTACTAAGCTATCAACCATTAAGGCGACCAAATGAACCTGGAGTTCGTTGTCAAGCTACATTATTCACATAACTAGACGACAAGAACTAGAAAGCTGAAGATCTCAGTTGGGTATTTAAGTTGGCTTTTTCGTTTCACATCAAATTTCCTCAATATTGTGTATTTTGTTATCTATCCTGTAGTTGAATTAATTGTAAACACTTTTGTCTTAAAACCATTAAATTTAGTATCACTTAGTAGTATTCACAAAATCCGTTAACTCATAATATATGCAAACTTGTGTATATCTTTGGATATAATAAAAACTGCAACTTCCTCAATCTCTCACTTGGACCTGTGACAGTTCTTCAGGTCGAACAATATATGAAACGTGTTCTAATCGGTAGAGTATTACTATCTTCGTTTATTGTCATAACTACTATTAAAAGATCCTTCTCAGTCGTGAGCATATATCCAAACAATTTACAATAGTAAATTCCTTATTTTCAGTTAGAATTTGTGGTTGGATCGAAGCTAAAAGGGTCCATGTGACGATATTAGTTAAATACTGAAACTTCAAGTTATTACTCATGATTTTGAACTCATTAAAGTCGTACAATGTTAAATTATGAGTGATTTCGGGGTTAATTTGTAATGATATTAGTATTCATTGAACATTAGACTAACTGTTCTACCGTATATACAGTGTATCCATACAAAAAGATGAGACCTAAACATAACAATAATAATGAAATGATAAATTGCATAATTACCGAAAGTTGTTTGCTTATTATACATAATTGAGTGATATTAAACATTTTATGTCATTTCTATATCTGCTAATATCATTGATCAAAAACTTAACCTTACTGAAACCGGTATTTCTTGAACAACATTGTGAAACTCGAGTGATTGTCTGACTATTGATGTTTTCTATGAGATTGTCTTATCGAATATGTGTCAGATAATCAGAACAATTGAAGAGAATAACATTTGGAGATTGGTTCAGTGAGCACGTGATGCTGTCGGTCGGAACACTTCAAACATATAAGTGTTTTATGATCCTTTGAGCATGATTTGCTTGGTATGTTTTGATGAAAAGTTATTTCACAAGGTTATCATGAATCTCATTCATATTAAGTGAACTATTCTATTAATTATAATAAGTGGAATGAAAAATATCGTGTGGTGAACAAAATCTTGAGAACTATAATTTACTAACTGATTTACTCGTTACGTACGATTAGTGTATGACTCTATTTGGATGTAAAATTGAAAAGGCTTTAAAGTACTTATACTTGATCCTATGATTTATTGTCTTTTTGGTAAGATATATATTTGTCTCATTTGTTTAAATAAATTGTTCTGCTAGGTATGATGGGGATACACTATATTAGCTGCGAAATAGTTTTTATGAAGAGAATGACCAGTTAAGCGATTATTAGAGCTACAAAAACTGTTAGTCATCTATAAGCAACATATAATCTAGAACAATATTGCACTACTTCACGTCATACTTCATCAACACAAGTAGGTGAAATTATCACGATCGATATCAAAGTAGAGCTAGTGGCAGTAAAAAATGAAATTAAGGTATGGGATAAGCTTAGGATTTTCGGGTAGAAAAAGATTACATACATTTACTCCATTGAGACTGATATCACTCAACTACTAGTCGTCATAATCCCTCATCTCAAACATACTTGGATTGTTACTATCAATGGCGTAGGTGTATACAATCTCTGTCTTCTCTTAAAATCGCTTCATACCTTTCTACGTACTAATTCTTTCTTCCTGTACTACATCCTTATATGCAATCATTTTTTTAAAAATTTAACGCCAATGAATTAATTACTTCTATGAATCCGGTGTTCATCATGCTGTGCTAATGAGGTATGACAACTTGGACCGATGCATATATGTGCCTGGTTCTACGTTGTAGCTAACTGACTGACTGCTATCAGAAAATTCCGGATTTTGTCAAGCTCTTCATTTAACAGAACGAATTAATCTGTATTCTAAGTTCTGTAATTGGAATTTCTCTGAATAGTTAGATAAAGAAAGTGCGATTTATATGAGTAAATACACCGCAAAACTAAGTAGAAGTAGAGAAACACGTCGATCTTGATTAGCACCAATTAAGATCGATCTCAGCTACTATTTGATCTAAGATAGTCTCCACAAATGACAAACATTACTGCAGAACCCGTCGATTAACGAAGCAAAATCCTATCATTCTGTCAAGAAATACCATTGTTGTCGGTGATATTAGGTAACATAACAGATAAGTCAGAACTGTTCCATTAATTTTTTACTGATGATATTAAGTAAGGACCATCCTGTTAGGAAGTAATTAAGATTTGGAATGTAAACTGATTTATCATGTATCATCCTTACTGTAGGATTTAAAAATGCTGGGGTTTAATACAATATATGATTTACAGGTGCACACAACTGGTTTTAAGACGTTTCTCAACTGATCTTGTTACATGAAGAGAATTATTTTCATAATGGATGAAAAACTAACCGAAACAAACCGTTTGTATAATTTGGAATGTGACATGAATTTTGTTATAACCGAAAATAGAGTTTGGGTTCCATGACTCTAAACTTCACTAGACCATTCTATGAGTAGATTGTAGAATCAACTACTAGGCTGAGTATTACACCACGTAGTACACCACACTCAGTTATCTTACTGGCAACCAAGAACCCGAGGTAGGTTACAATAACAGTATATTATCACATATTCCAAATCAGTAAACAAGTGGAGTCAGAGTGGAACGAAAGTGAAATCAGTTCTACATATAAGATGGCGTATTATACTACATATGACTGGATACGTCTGTCTTCGCTTGTTGGCTAATCACTGCTTACTTTGTCCAGCATATAATATTTAATACGATGTTAGTGTATATTCATCACACGATACAAAATGAAACAACACAAAAATACTTTGATCTTATTCACCCTAGCATACTTCGAATAGAAAGAGTGAGGTACAGAGATGAGCTTAAAGCAACCGCAAAAAGTTTTCATGCACTTCGCAGCCAATCAGAAAACATCCTTCGTAAATAAATATAGCTTATAGAAAACAAAACAGTAATACTAACAGTATAAACAGATTTTACAAAATCAATGGATTTTTTTAGGTTTTCTACAGGTTACTCCTCTTGTGAAAAAACAATAGCATGTAGACTTATCTTATGGACACAAATTATCCGTTTCTTCGAATTTTTATAAGGACCTAAATAGATTTGTAAAAGTCCCACATTCTTAGTTAGAACTTTCAATAAGAGCTGACATCAGCCGCAATGCAGAACTGCTCTTTAATCATGCGGATAAATGTGTATTTCGTAAAAAAATGGTTTAATTAGTTTACCATAAGCTATGGTGCCACCAGGTTAAAATTTGTCTCAGTGTCTGGAGTTAAGATCCACGCATAGTATCAAGCTGCCTGTTAAACAAAATCTGCTTAATACGTCTAACATTAACAGGTTTGGACTATGGTGGCAAAATGAGTTTCTCATAATCATTTAAAATGTTTTGAGAAGCATACAAAGATATACATAACATTTGGATTTCGACCAAAAGCCTAAAAGTCACATTTTTTATTCTGATTGACTCATCCCCTACACCATACTTTTGGCTTTCATATCCAATATTCGAATAGCTTAGCGTATTTTTTGTAAATATCCTGCCTCGAGGAGTCCCAGAATGGGACGAAACGGCCATCCAGTGCTTCCAGGTTTTCCATAGTGGTCTAGCTTCAATTAACTCACGATCTCAACTATTGAAATTACTACAATCTCCACAAAACCCCTTCTGATACAAATTATTAAGTGATTATTTATCAGTTTAGTTTGCCTAAGATTCAATAAAAGAAAAGCAGTTTGGTAAGTAAGTTTTATTGCAAAAGATAAACAATACATATTTTGATAGGAATAATAGTAATAATAACAGTACAATAAGAATAAAATACATTGTCTTTCTTAAATAACCCAAAATAGAAAATAATGATAATCAGAATTATAATATTGTAGTAGTAAATGCAAGAAGAAAGATAAATTGAATCTTGTATACAACTAGACATAGAATTGAGATAAAAATTGAATATTGAATCTCTTCTGGGTTCTACATAATAAATATACATAAAGTTAGTTATAGTTACTCAATAAAAGCAAAACAAAAAGTTGTATGAGAGAGAGAATGATTATCATCTTCATTTTATAAAACGTTTATTTACATTGTTTAACTTTACGCTGCATTTTCATATACCAAGGTGTATTTAGATGTTTACGTCTCTTCTTCACGTTGTGATGTAACTGACGTGTTTGTTGCTCGGTACTTTGACCAGAGATATTTTGTTGTCGTTGTATATGATGTTGATGATATATGGAACTTTTCAATGGTGGGAATTTGATTTTTATACCTTTATACGTTATTTTATATTTAAAACAAAGTTAAAAGAAAAGTGATAAAACTGACTAACTAATCAAATTAATGAAGTGTTAACTAAAAGTACAAGACTTTAATTATCACTACTTTTAAACTATTACTGGGTAATAATTCGTGTATTTGGCTTCGATTCACACAGGAAGTATGAGTGTTAGCGAAAGCACTAACTAGCTGTCCAAATTAAAGTAGATGAGACGAGGTTCGAACCTAAGATCTAGAGTCTGAATATCGAACAAATTAACCACTAAGTCAATACTCAGTCAGTCAGCTACAACGTAGAACCAGGCACATATGTGCATTGGTCCAAGTTGCCATACCTAATTAGCACAACAAGATGAACACCAAATTCACAGAAGTAGTTAATTCAGTGGTGGTAATATATTAAATAAAGATTGCATATAAGGACATAGTACAGGAAGAAAGAATTAGTTCGTAGAAAGAAAGATATGAAGAGATTTTAATTTCGTAGTTTAAAGGAAGACAAAGAGTGATAGATTCTGGGCCATATCACCAAGAATTTCCAACCATTGGTTACGATAGTCACGCGGACCCCAACCAAGTAATCTCAGACCAGAGGTTAGTGACTTCAAGCACTGATGCTAAGTTTTTGTTTGGCCACCCCTAACTTTCTTCCAACCATCTCCAACACTAGTTAGCATTGCGCGTCGTGGTAATCGGTGTTCAGGCATACTACACTTGTATAAGAAATAATATAGTTTATAATATTGCATAAAAAAGCAGAGAGATGTATTAGCGTTAATTAATGACCTAATAAATACAATAACACAAAAATGTATAACTTGTGATTAAAACTATGAATTTTATTTTATGAATTAATACAATGTAGGTAACTATTTGTACATTGACGTTATTTAATAAATAATTAATTAATTAATGGCTATTTGTATAAATAAACAAAAATAATTGGTCAAGTTTATTCAGCTTTTATTGATTTCATTTCACCTATAGAGTAACCATTATAGAAAACTATAGTAACATTATCAATGATGAATCGTTTCAACCATATTTGATTCTGTGTTAAATTCAATATAAATATCATTCGATTCATAGTATTATTCTATAAATGAATTATCTTTAAAGTATATTTCATGTATTCTCAATATCAAAGAAGTAATGTTTAATTTGAAAGCTTCTGAGATACTATACGTGAAACGTGTTCGAAACATCAAAAATGGATATATCATTATTAGGTTACGATCTCGATTATGTCAGAATGCATTGGACTTTATTATATGGGTATTACAGACATAAGTGGTCAGTGAGAAAATTGTCTATCATCTACGGTATCAATAAACAAAATTTTAGATAGATAGAATAAAATTGATCATATTGAGGAATTGTGAATTCAACTAACTAACATAATCAACCAGATAGACGAACTATCCGATTATTTCCGACGGCTCATTATTAAAGATAATTACAAAGCATAATTTTTTCCTAGTGTTATGAAGTTAAGCCGCATCTCAATATTAAAAAGTACATGTCATATTTACAGTCACTTTTAACCAGCCAAGTGAGTATATTTCAAATAAGGTAATAAGTTCAAATACTCCAAAAATTTTAATACAGATTAGGATTTATGAAGATCTATCACAGAATAGTAAGTCTTTTGAAAACTAAATGAGAAGAGTATTAAATGAGTTCATGTTAGTATTAGAAGTTCTTCAAAAAACGAAAATATAGCTAACATTATACAACCACCGATGTGGATAAACTATAAATGAACCACATGCAAAGGTAAACAAAGTTAATAAAAAGTTAAGAGCATCATATTTATAGTAACAGAAGCAGTATTGCTCCAGATAAAACATATCATATTCAATTTTATATATGCTCAGAACTGCAAAAACAAATACAAAGAAATGACGGGATGGCGGCTATCTACAGGCTTCACTGAATCAACATCCCATAGGAGCAAAAAATATAATCATTTAGACTGCATGTGACTTTCTTTCGAAAAAATATCAATGCATTCAATACTATCGATAAGCAGCATACTCCATATCTGTAAAAAATTTCAGATAATATAACAATTAAAAGACTAAAACTTGACATGCATGTTGAAAAATGTCAGTAGTCAGTTTGCGTCGTATAGTATTTATGTGGACAGACATAAGTAGTATGTAACACCAATCAGAAGTTGAAAGCTTATCAAAAGAAGGTTGAGAAGATTTGACTGAAGAAAACAGAAAGGAACACATAAAGCAACTGAGAAATGGAAGAATTACGAAGGACGTAGAGGACAATTGATGGGAGATTTGCAAATGAAGTATTTAATGTATGGTTTTTACATTTTACGAAAGAACTCTGTAACTTTTCACTAAATAATAAATTTGTTATTATCAGAACAAGGGTTTGTGGAAAATGTAGTCATTTAATAGTTGAATTCATAAGTCCATTTAAACTAGACCAACTTAGTGAGTATATGTGACCAGTGGAGTCAAATCGTGTCAGTTGTGATGCAGTTACTCACTTAAGACAATAATGGACGGTCGCACAATATCATGGATTGGTTGAAGTTAAACATTAACACGATTAGATGCTGACTCAGTAACCAAGAGGTTAAGAATTCACGCGCGACACCCAAGGTCCTGTGTTCGAGTCCCGTATGCGGGATCGTGAATATGCACTGCTGAGGAGTCCCATACTAGGATGAAACAACCGTCCAGTGCTTCCAGGGTGGTCTAGCTTAAAACGACTCATGAATTCAACTATTAAATAAACTGGTTGTCTCCACCTGAGTTCTCGTTCAATACAAGTCTTCCACTGCTGATATATATATATATATAATTGTTACTAGACTGTCAGCCAAAGGTATCAACTTTGAAGGCTTACAATAACTTGTGGAATTCAAGAAGAAATCAAACGGACAAAGAATTGGAACTCAAAAAAATTACTTTAAAACTAATCAATGAGTACATTACCATGAAATTTATTTACTTCAGTAAAATCCATTCTATTTCCTGGAAAAAATTCATGTATACATGATAAATTATCATATTGATAATAATAATAATAATAATAATAATAATAATAATAATAATAATAATAATAATAATAATAATAATAAAACATACAACTAACCCATTAATTGTGTTTTTCCTTTAGCTCGTAAATCAAGTAAATACTTAATTTCATGTTTAATTAATTCTTCTTCTAGAAAAGAAAATGAAGTAAATGACAACAACAACAACTTACTATACAAATTCTCCATAAAATGTTTCCCTTGTATACCAGTGAAATATCTTAGAAATGGTTTTAATTTTTCATTTAAATAACTGAAATGAAAAGAAAATTAATTCATGAAAGATATTACGTAAGATAAAATTTTAAGAAAAGGTAGACAAAACTTCAAATAGACTTCTTGCCCCCAAATGCCCTGGTACGGCCGAGAGTGGGGAGAGTCCGCTCTCCCTCTCACACGGCCACGCGTATATAGCCTCTGCCAGGGAAGTCCTACTCATTGCCTTCTCGTGGCGGGGGTGTTGTTTACGAAAATGAGAGGACGAAAAGCGAATGTCCGGCGCTTTAACCGGATTCAAAACCAATGGTGCACATGGGCTCCAGTATCCTGCGGGAACAAATGGCGTATGAACCAATTGTTGGTCACCGGCTTCCATGGGACTGCATCTCCTAACGATGCTCCACTGCCTTGTGGATCAGACCTTCAGGTCGAACGCTCGGGGTGTGGCCCCCTAAGAAAACCACCTGCTTCGGTTTGGGCACCCGGGCAGTATCACAGCCCTCACACATATCGAATGAGATTTGTGTGGCGCATATGTATTTGGTGCCTCTTTGTACCATTATGTATGTGTTGAAATAAATAAATAAATAGACTTCTATATTACTGAAAGTGTTAGTTTACTACACATGATCTTAGCTCAGAGAGCCGAGAAGCGTCACAACTGACGGAGAAGATTTGGAAGATGTAAAAACCTTTACATATTTGGGCAGCATCATTGATGAACATGGTGGATCAAATGCACATGTGAAAGCGCGGATCGGTAAAGCGAGAGCAGTATATTTATAATTGAAGAACATCGTGGACTCAAAACAACTGTCAACTAACACCAAGGTCAGGATTTTCAATAGAAATGTCAAAACAGTTCAACTGTATGGGGTGGAAACTTGGAGAACTACAAAAGCCATCATCCACAAGATACAAGTGTTTATTAACAGTTGTCTACACAAAATACTTCGGACCCGTTGGCCAGACACTATCAGCAATAACCTACTGTGAGAGAGAAAAAACCAGATCTCAGCGGAGGAAGAAATCAGGGAGAAGCGCCGCAAGTGGATAGGACACACATTGAGGAAGGTACCTAACTGTGTCACAAGGCAAGCCCTCGATTGGAATCCTTAAGGCCAAAGGAAGAGAGGAAGACCAAAGAACAAATTACGCCGAGAAATGGAGACAGAGATGAGAAGAATGAACAACAATTGGATCGAACTAGAAAGGAAGGCCTAGGACAGAGTGGGATGGAGAATGCTGGTCGGTGGCCTATGCTCCACTGGGAGTAACATGAGTAAGTAAATAACCAGCGAAATCATAGGTCGATTTTATGCTTTTTCAATGTTTAGATAGAATATACCTTTTTCCCATGTCATGTAAGTGATTAGTAACTGGCATCAGTTAGATTAGTTTAAAAATGATTCCTAACTTTGAATTAAGAATATGATAAAAACTTTAAAATAATAAGCATATGTCTACCGAGAGACACTATTTTCTCGGGACGAAATTCTCATTTTTAATGAATGTTTGGGGACTGAGTTTTATTGTTAAACACTCTCTATCATTTGGATCAGCTGGTTTGGAATTATACTAACAACCCGACCTCGTTGATTGTCTCATTATTCATGGGTATAATTCAGCCACCTCATACGATATGTTGAAATATTTGTGAACTATGAAAAGTGCTCAATGCAATCAATCAATAGGCAAGGTTATGTGACCTTAAATAATGTAAATATTAAATTTTCTAAAATGTACATACGATAGTATGAAAACTATTACCAATCTATAACGTGAAATAGAATGCTTATTCAAGTTGCCATAAACTGAAGTAATGATAATTGAATTCAGTAACGTTTGTGGGTGAACACTAACAGTGTTCGCCCTAGAGAGAACATCAATATGTTGTCATGATACAATATTACTAATTACAAACTTACAATCCATTGAAATCTTCCAATGAGTTTGTTGGTTCAACTTTGTAGATATTAGTTGGATTTATACTTTTGGAATCGGTTAGCACTTGATTATTTACAACATTCGATGAGATATTGACTACAATTGGTGCACCTTTTATCAATTCAGATGACTGAACAATAAATGGAGCAGCAAGCCAACTACTTGGAGAAGGCTTTTTAGATGAACTTTTATTCAAAGATTCATTAAGGTTGGATAGTTTTTTCATGGGTGTTATTTTACTATTTAATTTGTTGTGTGATATATTTGTCAATGATGGTGGACGTCCACGATGTTTACTTCTGGCAGGTTTATATTCTTTTCTAATGTGTTTTTCTACTACAGGGATACGTTTTTTTACACGTTTGTTCAGAATAAATGCTAGAATATGAGGAATCAAACCATGCTCACAAGCAATTTCTTTGCGCCTTTGACGCTCACGCAACCTTTGCATGTAAATATTGACTTGTGCTACTTTTAAAGCTGAAAAAATATTGGACAATTACAAATATTTTAGTGAATACCAAAGTAAGTATCTGATATTTCGAGAAATGGCTAATACAGTAATAACTAAGAATCGAAACATATACCAACAAACCAATACCAAAAGTAATGAATAAAAATAAACAATATTAATTCCAATGATACAGTGACTTATCCTTCTTTGAAAAAAAAGATATTTTCTTAAAAAGATTATTACTGCTGAACAACTGACCATCGTCTATGAGTAATCAGTTGTTTAATTCCTTTTAGACGACCAACCGCCAGATATATATGATAACTCGGTTTCATATAAATTTAGGACGATTATGTAAGCTTTAAAATAAGACAGATTCGATGAAAGTGAAATATCCCGATATCTTAGTTATTTTTTATAATTTGGTGTCAAAGTAAATCAATGCTAACTAGGGAAAGTGAGGAAATGATTCAGTAATCGAAGCATCCAACTTTCAATCATTATGTTAGAACCTCAAGACCCTTTTTAGTTTGGGGTAGTCGATTTGTATAATCGGTCTTTACAGAAAACAGTTTGGTTCTAAATCAAGTGTGAAGACCCATACTTAATCCGCTATGTATAACAATCAATCAACCAAATATGCAAAACTTACAAAATAAAGGTAAAATAATATAAATATTATGATAGGGTTATGAGATCATTGATTAAGGGTGTAGTTTTCACTAATGAATCACAGGTAAGAACTCCGTTTCATCTATTTCGGTCCAGATAGTTAGGTGGTACAGATTCAGACATACACTACGCGGGGATCTATTCATAGTAGATGAGATGAGATTTACCCCACGATCCAACGGTTAGAAATCGAATCTCCAAACCACGAATTTCCACCATGCAATTCAATGAATTTATACTTTAAAGTATTTCTGGATAGAATTCTTTTTATCCCAGAAGTGTAAATTAGTTATAAATAGGCAACTAAAATAGCAGTTTTTATCAGGAGAGTATAAGATAATGTAACATTATGCCATTATCTACTAATTATTAAAATTTGGTCAGCTTTTATACAAAGGATTTTAACTCCCTAAGACCTGATGACATCCACCACAAAATGAATATCATTTACACAACATCATAACACGACTCAGTGATTGACATTTTATGTTGTCCCATGCAATGTCTAGTGGAGAGCAGTTAGTCATACATTCAAATGTTGAAGTGGTTGCAGCGAAATAAGTTATTTATTCATCATAAATAAAAAATTCATTAGGAAAGACTTCAATATTGTTATCAGCATATTTATCTTTTCTGAATTAAACGATGCATTTTAGTTTCCAAAATACAGATTTATTTAAGACTTGATTGAAAACTAAGTTTCCGAGTATATCAGTCTTTTGTACACACTAAAAAGTTATTAAGGTTTTATATTTTCAATATAACCTTTTCTCACTTGTGTCTTTTTTCATGAAATATTATTATATAAATAAACGACAGTACTACTTTAATTGTTATACGCCCTGTGATAATTTAAGTCAATGGTGTATTTCTACACAAGAAGCTATACCTGTATTGTTTTATTCTCTTCCTAGTAAGATCATGACTTAGCCACTATTAATTAATGTTGTGAAATAAAAAAACAACGTAAAACTTGTATATTTTTAAGAAGAAATTAAATAACCAATTTTTATAAGGATGATGTTATTTTCGTATGACATCGGTCCAATAGAGAAGTGTTCAAGTACGAATTCAATCCTTTATTTTTTATAGAGACGAATGTCAGTTAGGTTATCTGTTGATATGAGTAACCGATCACTTTCTAGATGCAATCTAAAATACATCTATAAGAGTGGAAGTGATTAAGAGCTTGATCCCCAGGTAATGAGCTGGCAATGATCAACTGATGAACCAATATTTTGATTTTAAGGTTGCTTTCCGCAAACAACTTCGTTTGTAAATCCCTCGAACAAAACGTCAGGGTATTTTATTAGAGGTAGCCTGTAATTTGTAAACATCAAAATATCTTCTACTTTATCTAGGACCTAATCCATTATGTGTGTTTCCCATAGGTTTGTACTTCGAGAAAATACTACCTTCCCTTTTCTAGTTTTCGGATCCTTTATTTTTTCACTCTTATTTGTTTTCGGTAACATTTCACTTGAATACCCTGGTACGTTTTTAGATGAGATAAAAAAGCCAAACACTAGGTTATATATATATATATATATATCACAGGAAGTTTAGATTTTGTCAACTAGGTTAAAATAAGACGCAAACAACTGGAATCGAAATGTCTATCAGTCAGTCATGATCAGTGTTGAACCTAGGACAAATGTGAATAGGTATTGAGAATATGGTTTAAAAAATTGGGGGTACGTATGAAGACATACGAGAGCTCAAGATTAGAGAAAGGTAAGTGTATGCATCTAAGTCATTACGACATTTCGAGTCATGTCCCCAAAGTTTTCAGTCACTGGTTGCGGTTGTTGCGCAAACCTTAAAATGGTAGTCTGTATCTACCAAAACGGGTCAGACTATGGACCGACGTTACGTTTTGGTTTGGGAGCCCCTTGTCTTTTATCAATATGATATTATTCCAATAAACATCACTCGTCGATGCGAAGTGATTAGGTCTAGGAAATAGTTTACGTCTATTCATGCTTAATTATTAAAGTTTGATACAACCAACTAGTCATTAGTAAGATGAGAGTAAAACGGTTTCTAGTCAGGTACGAAATAGAGCAGTTGCAAAGATCCATAGCTACTACAAATAAACTATTTTAAACCACATACCGTCCTCTAGGTCATCATGAGAAAAACTGGGATGTAATCTACATAGTATGCTCTCAGCATCGTTGTCATAATCCTATAAAAAAATAGATAAACGAAAGTGGCTGAACAAAACTAACTCGTTCAAAGTCACCACGGTTTGGCATGTAACCCAATAGCTGTTGATCTTCAATATCAATATATGATGAGTGTGGTGGTTGCATAGGAGATAACACTACGTGGTTTGTGTGATCTGTAATTCGAGAAGGATATTTATTATCATTCAGCAACTCCAGGCCAAATACTCCACCCAAATAGCGATTACAGTAATGATACATGCATTCTTCAGAGCTTTTAGTTCCCACTTTTAAAGCTATATCCTCCCTTAAGAAAGTAAACTGAGTGGGAATAAAAACACGTACCAATTTCCAATTCCATACTGCTCCAATGCTTCAAGAAGATTCAATTCCTCCTCAGAACTCCAACCCTCGAGAATAGAGTGTGGCAGCAAATTTAGTCTCTACAGTAATTAACGGAGGGATTACAGAATATTTACCGAAACTCGATAACCATGATTTTTCTTGTGTATTCCAGACTCAGCACCGTAACAGTAGCACTGCAAGTAACAATGAGTTTACAAAACTTACAGCAACACATAGCTGTACGCAATCACATTCAACACATATAAGATGCACATCAGCTTGTTTCAAACAGTTTGAGCATATGTTTTCTCTCGGGATTGTGGACATCTATTTTATTAGTATCAAAAAATATATATCAAATAAAAAACGATTGGTTTTATCCACTATAAAAGATAATGTAAATGTTTTTTAACTGAAAAGTGGATGCTTTCAAAAGATATAGAGGAATTTATTTTTAAGACCTAATATCATAAATTACTTCAATTTGTCTCATAAAACAGTGAAAATTAATTTTGTTGAGTACCACAGGGGTTCATTCTAGGTCGTTTACTGATTATACTTAATATAAATGAAGTCTTACGCATCATTATGTCTCACATGTTACGTAATGCTGATATCAAAGTCTGACAGGCAGAAGAGGCCGATGTACATGCACTTAAGACCAATGTAGACAATTTGGCAAGTTGATCTAATTTCTGGCTAACACCTATCACTGCAGCCAAGTATATCTACATACAAATTACGCACGTAAATGTCAGTAAATGCAGCACGAGAGAAGCGTCAGTGCATTTAGTCCTGCATTATATTGATTTAGGAGTCATAGTAAGTCACGACGAACATGGCTCACAGATGTTCGGTTGTAGATAACGATTTTAGAACTAAGTGTGGGGTCAGAGGCATGCTTTCACCGACAAATACGAATATTTGTAATGAAGGACAGTTATAAATGCAATCAAACAGCTGCGTAGCTTACCGACCTCAACACCGCTTGAAAAGTTAAGCTTCCTTTCTTAAGCGTAGATTAAAAGATAGATTGGTCGCAGCGTAATATACAAAGAACTTGATTTAACAATCATATATTCTATTTTTTTCACAACTGAAGACAAATTGGAGGACACAGTAGACTGTTCCAAAGGCCAAGAGAACACACGAAGTACCTATGACATGTGAACTTTTACATTTAGTAGTAACATTTGGAAGACTATGACCAAGAGGAATGATGTCCTAACCCTAAATTGACATATTTGAAGACACATGGAAGCTCAGCAAAAAGATCAACCGACGTTCTTGGCTCTTGATATATAACCACGTGCAGTTTCTTGAATAGGGCTTTAGCAGAGATGGGAGAGAGAGACTGGCCTGAAACTCGAGCACACCAGTCTTGACGGTTTCTGCATGATTTGTCCACTACTCTAAAGCTAATTTCCTTCTCCACTCTACTACTTACACAATTATGATAACCATGCTCTCCGCGATCTCTTTTTGCACGATTTAACTATGTATAACCAACACATTATTGCAAAATCAATCTTTGAAGAATATAAAACGAATCGAATTGCATGCCCAGTAATCATATACAAGGACAGCTGCAGAAGGACAACTGGATTTACCGCGAAGGAGTTTTTTAGCTACTGGAAAACGAATATTCAGGAAAACCTATTTCCTCAGGAATTGGTCTAAGTGAGTCAACTTATCAATAGAGATATAACAACCGAGGACGTCATGACAGGGTATGGAAAGGTAGTAGACTAAAGAATTGCCTTTTAAGCCTAATTTTACCATAGGAAGAATTCAAGCAAATGTGTACCTCTTGCAATGAAGTCAGGAAGGAATCATCCAACTGCGGAAGGTGTAACGTAGCATATATATAGCGCGCCTCCAGAACAGAATCCAATACGGTTGTCTCAAACATGAATAGACTGATTAATTTCTCTGCGCTCACTTCTAATTATTTCGGTACGCCTACAGTCATACGGTTATGTACAAAAAATTGTAGTTCAGCAAATCGAATCCTTTCATTCAAGTTGGTCCGGTAGTTGTGTGTGGACGTACATTTCTTTTAATACATATGAATCCGTTTGTCTCAATTCAGAACATCAGCAGCTATCACATTACTAGGTAGGAGATTGGTTATAATATGGAAAATAATGGAGTGAAAACTTGGGTTCTGCAAAAAGACGACTGTTTCACGAATGACAGATAAATTATGAAGTTGTTAGTGTGCAAAAAGAAGGAGTTGGGGAACTGTGAGAGGAAACGGGGTTGATAAAAGAGGGATAGGAAGTGGTTACTAATATACGTTGGCGTTAACCATGGTAATTCATGGGACATGCATCAAGTAAAGTAGGGAGTTGCGTTTGCATTAACTGCATCTCACAGTGCAGTTTGAATTTATGTCCAAGCTTACGGCGCTCACAAGCCCGAAATAACAAACTGAGGAGACAATCGGGGCGCGTTTTCATGGAGTGTGTAGGTTCTTTATGTAAAATAACGGATCATGTTTATGCCATGGCATTTCGACAAGTTTCATCCCATTATCTACTGCTCATTCCCCTATTATCGTATGGTTCTTTGGATGTTCGAATGAATCCGTTTCACTTTTGATGGACTATCATATTTTTGTATCCCCTGCAAAAACAAGCGCTTTCGCGCTAGTTCTATCTAACAGGTCGTTAATAAAGGTCAAGGACAAGGGTGAACCAAAGGTTTTTCCTTGTGAACCTCCTGATATATAGGCCGGTCGACTTGCGTGCACTGTACTTGCCTCATTACGAAACATCCTGTCCTCCAGGTACCTTCGGAGCCAAGATTGGAAAGGAACAGTGAAACCTTCGCCATAGGGGATATGTAAAGAAACAGGCCGACATTCCCGAAATTAACTGCAATAATAAACCTACCCCACAATCATATAATTGCCATGATTTTTGTTATGTAATCGGTAAAACTTTATGGAGAATTCACATCATTCTTCATATTTATTTGTCCTATTGTATCACTGAGTAATATGATGCTTTGCTATCTTGAAGTACATAGTTGGTCTGGCGCAAAATATGAAACGAGGTGTACAGAACAAGCTATGAAACGCATATGGAGAAATTCGAACTCTTCACTTCTATCTGAAGTTTGTGCTGATCATGTCGTTTAGAAGAACGATGAAAGCTTCACGACCAAACCATCCAGCTCAGAGGACAAAACTCCATCAATATGAATTGTAATATGTTATATAGTGAGTAAGCCATCCCAGCTATACCAAATGGATCAAGTGTTTCTGTGTTCATCATTTTTAACTTTCTTTATGGTGCAAAATGTTCTCAGTTTGCCACCAAGGATCGCACGGTTGTGAACCAACGGACGGTGTCCCGTATTACTCACATTACTCTGAGATTTATTTCGTGTAGTTTATAATTTTTTAAGTTCTGTTTCCAAGAAACAGAAACTTTCGAGTTACTACTAACCTTTGAAATTGAGCCTCTACTAGTCGTCTTCGTAGTCAAAATGTAAGTATTTGTGGTAACACTATTATTGTGAATATTAATAAAATGTGGAAAGTGAAACAATTTGGAGAGAATTGTATGAGATGTGACTTTCTAAAAAATAACATCAAAAAGTTAGCGACTTCATGTTACAGAAATATAAAGTCTGACACAAAGTTGCAACCTTATCTTCGACCACTCTAGCAATCAACTTTGATAGCGAGTTCGAAGGTCTTGGATTCGAGTTGTGAGTGTGGGATCGTGGATATACACTGCTGAGGAGTCCCATACCAGGACAAAACGGTTGTCCTGCGGTTCTGGGTTGTCACGAGTGGTTTTAAACCGTTTGGTCCGTGATCACAATTAAATGACTCGACAACCAACTGTTCAAACAAAATAGATCAACAGACGTACGAATAACATGTAAACGAAGATGATGAGAGTAGAGGTGAGTAAAACTAAGTTAGTGTTGTGGGATGGTAATGATAATGATGCTAGGTAACTTGCGGAACATGCGTCATTCGAAATTTGTTCAAGCGATTGGGTAGATGTGAACATGGCTTCATTCCATGGTACTTATTAGGAGTTCTGTGATTACACGGACTTGAAAAGAGCTTCTTAGTGGTAGGACGTGTAACTAGAAGTCAAATCATTCAAGTTTTTGAAACTTGCGAGATGCAACAGTAAGTTCCTAGTGGAATTAGTTTCCAGGATGGCCTGTGTTTGTTAACAAGTTTTATACCGTTATCAGACAATCCTGTATTCTTCCGCGTCTTAGAGTTGATTCGTATGAAAATGATTGTAAATAATGAATTCTTCATTCTCTGGATTTGACCTTGAATATTATGACCCACTTCCTCTGTTGCATCTGTTTTTGTAAGAGATAAGTGTTTCTTTTTATTATTCCTCAGAGCAAAGCCAAACTAGATTGAAAGGCTTCTTAGTTACACTAAGAACTACAAATAGAGCTAGAGTCGTAACGTTCAAACAGAAGTCGTTAACTCTGGATTTGGGGCTTATGAGGCGATTTCCGTAGTTGTTTACCGTAGCCGATCCAGGAATACTGATAGTGGACGTTTTAACGAATATGAATTTCTAGCTGATATGAAGAAACGACATGCAAACCTTAAAGAAACTTAGAATTACACGAAGAACAAAGAAAGTCTTGCCACTTCCTTAAATTTTAGTACGGACTCCGCTTTATCCTAACCAAATCAAGCCCCCAACCTTCCAGAAGTTAAATAAAGGCCATACAATCAAAATTGAAGATTCACTTGTGTTTGCTAGGTGCTGTAAAAACACATAACCATGAATTCGTGTACGCTTTACATGTTCTTGTAACGATTGGTACAACCAGCTAACAAGCTACTTCATACCTATAAGTTTTGTGACTATGATAAACATTTAGAAATTCTGATGTTGATATCTACAGACAAGCATTTTGAACCTATTCAGAGATGTAAGAATGATCTATGAACATAGATTTAACGTTACATCTATTAATAATATACTGTTTTCCGATATCTAATCAATGTCAAGATTGTGAGGCATTTTTCTATTTCACTGATTATCAGCTGTAAGAACATTATAATCTAGTGGTTTCTAAATATGGTGTAATTCAAACGTGTTTGTCGTAGGGTATCTAAAACTTCAAACTGATTTGATTTTGTTGATGCAACCGAACCACTTTCCAGTTCTAGGTCCAACTAGAGAGTGTATAATCTAGTGAGAGTTGAGTTTTGGATATGCAATCATTCAGTGTAAAAGGTTAAATCATATTAATAGACGAGATCGAAGTGCTTAACACATAGTGGTGGAATTTTAAACAACATCTGAATGGCTACTTTACTCAATCGTCTCTAGCGTTTTATTCAAGTAAAAAGCTTTTTTCACTCAATTGATTTGTAAAACTAAAAATCACAAGCACCTCAGATGATGGTACTTGGTTCAGCCTCTCAATATAATTTGTTTAGTGTGCATGGTTACGTAAAGGTCAGTCGTAGAGTAGAAATCTTAGTAGCCGTTGAACCATGGAACGTATGTCAATTAAACGGCGAAAACATAACACAGCTTGATAGATTCCGATGAATCGACTAACATTCTACGTACATATGTTTGCTAGTATGCTGATGTCCACAAATACTTAGTGTTCTTCTTAACAGCATCTATATTTGCCCAGTAACTGGTAAGAAAACATTAGAACTGTTATATCTTTTGAATACATAGAGGGCTTCGTGATTGCCATTCGAAAACCAAACTGACAACGCAAGTGAGAAAACGCAGACTATAGACAAAGGCTTATTTGACCCCCAAAATGCATTGATACACCCATTACTTCACCTCCATTTGATAATTATTTGATAATTATCATACATAGAGAAATATGTAATTACGACCAGTACCCACGCTACACATCATACTGAACAAATTTCACACTGAAATCATGAAAATGATATTGCCTTGAATGAAAATCACAGTGAAATAAAATCAGTGTAATGTTGAACAGAGCATTATACCGAAAATGGAGAAAAATTAAAGATGGCAGCAATCTTAAAGAAAATCACAATGATTTAGACCAGTAAGCCGGGATCCAACGGCTTTAGGATGTTTCTGGAATTTGAAATAAGCCAAATTTACTATACATATTTGCAGGAACGTTTCAAATAAATTTTCAATTTGTTACTTGTCTGTCAGTTTTTGAAGTGATATCTCATAAACAGTCAACTGTCGTTTACTGTGTTGAAAAATTAAAATCGTTAAGGGATATGTGAACTTTTTTTGAAATTTATTTACGCCCACCGTACAATATATACGTTTTGAAATGACGCTGTAAGTGTCGTTATTTCTCCCTTCAAACATTATCCATACGAGAGAAATTTGATCCACGAACAACTTTCTTACTGCTTGCTATAACATACCTTGTATAGCATATTAATTATGTCAGTAAATTTATGGTATATGATTTCAACTTATCATTGCCAACATATTGACTTTGTTTTTCAAGATGAGTAAATGTAGTCTATTGTATTGTTAAGATCTACCTGTTTGTAATCTATCAACATCTTACGAATAATGAAAGTGACAAATATCTTGTATTCTTTTAAATTTCAGTTTAACTCCAGCTTATCCTTTAGTCTTGATACTGTATATTGGACTATTTATTCATGCTTATATCGGTCCAATGTATCCTCAAACTCCCAATTTGATGGATATAAAATTTTGTCGTTATCTTTGGTGGATAACATATTTGAATGATTTAACTTATTCGGATGAATCAATAAATGATAAGCTTATAATGTTTGATGTTTGTTTTATTTTTCATTGTGATGCAACACATGATTTATGTGAAACCAACGATAGGAGGTTAACTTTTTAATGGACTAACAGTGTATCGCATTCTGTTTCCAGATGTTTATTGCATTTTCATTATTAAACCAAG